ATTTTTTTAAACTTATTTTCTATTATTTAGTGGGGTATAAATGAAAGACCCAATTTTGAATTTCTCTACTATCTATCACTTTTTTTGTTCAGGGGGAGGTTCACAAAATTCACATATGCTTTACCACTGAATTATTTCTAAATAGGGGTGGCATTTGGTTAGATACCATAGAGGTGGTATTTAAAGAGACCCCAGATCTTAAAAGGGATGTACTTACCCTTAGGGTATCTACTTCTCCTATAAAAAAGCAGTAATTTAGCAATAGAGTGTTCAATTTATAATTCTTGAAAGGAGAGGGTAATTGCTAAGTAGATCCGGATCTTTTTATTTGATATTCCCTTAGAGTACGAAGTAACAAATTGCCACCCATAACAAAAAATATTTCAATGATTAAGCTTATGTGAATTTCGTACCTAGTAACGAATCTCCCCCCTTCTTTTTGTAAGAGGGGGAAAATAGTTAAAGAGATCCGTAGATCATCTTTTAATGGTGACAGTAGCGTGATAAAGGGAATAAAAGAGAGCGTTGGAGGGTGACCGCTCACTCCTACTGAATATTGAAGTGAATTCTGGTTGCCAATTTTTTCCAAAGGGTACGAGCAGTCAAATTGGCAGGCCAACCTCATTATTATTCTAAAGGCACCAAAATAACTAAAATTGAGGGGGGAGCGCTGTAACTAAATTTTTGGTAGTTTTTTTAAAATTCTCTCAACTTATGACAAAATAGGGCCTTTTTTGGTGTTTCGGAGAGCTCGGAAATTCAAATTGATTGACCTAATAAAAAGGTCGACAACTAGTTGGAGTTTTTCGAAAAACCATTCCCCTAAAAAAATTTCTGCGCATGCCACTGATTGGTGGCTATGGTTTTTTTAAGCTGAATTTATTTCACAACTGATTATATGCAGTCTTTCCTTCAGCCAGCCTTGCATGGTCACCGCAATTTGAAATTTAATTCCATAACAAACAATTTGGGTAGCAAAAAGTTCCAATTTCTCTTGGATTCCCTGTTGGAACATATGTCTGCGCCCTATACCTTCAAACAATTTCTGGCTTTCAACTGTTTTTGCATTAACGTGGCCTCAATTTTGTAAAACTACCGTATCCAAACAAGCATGCTGCCCATTTCCGCTTAACTTCTTTTTGTCTTGATTTCTTGTATATCGCTGATTAGATTTCAACGTCTGATATCTATAAATTTTTACTTATGGTTCTAGAGACAATTTTCCTTCGTTTTTTTTAAATTCAATAATATTAAATTGGTTGCAAAGATCTTGAAAGATTGCACCATCTTTGAGAGTGTCGTCGTTGGTCGTTGCAGCATCTGGCTGCTATCCGTCTGTCTCAGCTGGATATCTCTTCTTGGAGATTACTCAAATATCCGAATCATTAGACAGCCGAACAATTATTTTCGTCTCGGATAGCCAAAAGTCTTGAAACTTTGCGTAAGTCTTGAACTAAATAAGTCACCAGTAACTCTTTTGTCTCGGATAATCAAAACTTTGCGTACATCTTGAACTAAATAAGCCAACAGTAAACCACGCGGACTATACCACTCGTACCAGGCATACAGGAATGGTTTCCGGCGTTTTTGAAAATTTGAGTTAAAATTGTTAAGCTAGTTATCCAAACCATCTTGGGGGAATAGCATATCAACTTGGCTCCAAGTTCGAGTTTTCGCCCAATCAGAATCGGGTTTTTTACATGCAGCGCGATATAAATGGTGGGGAAGATCTTCGTGCAAACTTGGGGTGGAAGATCTTGGTCTATCAGGGAGGAGGATGTTGAATCTAGTTTCCTTTTTGTGCTAATTTGCGGTCAATTTTTCGCTATCCGGTTAACAAATTTTATTTTGGCTAGGGATACTCCTCTGAGCACTCGGCTTTCTGAGTAATTCGGCTATGTATCACGCCAACCCCGAAGTGACCGTTTATTTTTCTCCGCCTCTCTCGCGCTCTTTCTCTCCCTGGCTCTTTGATCTCATTTCATAACCATGTGAGCAAACTTGTGTCATTCAAGTGGAGTGTTGGTAATACCATTTTTTCCAAGTTCAAATGTCATCATCATGCATATTCTTTAATAGTTGTCGCCATCCAAGCATGAAATTCAATGCCGGATCTTCTGAAGATTTCCCTTTATTTTCTGGCGAACTGATGGTAAGAATGGTATGAACATAAACAAAGAATTTCAGCACAGAGACCACAGAGGATAGTTTGAGATACACATAAGTTACATCGCAGATAAGAAAGTATTTGCTTTCTTTAAATGCATTTTTAGAGCAAAATTACATTCAGCTACAAAAATTCGACCTTTTCATTTTTGCCACTTCATATGAGAAATTTTAATCCATTAAAACTTATCATTAATTCATGCCTGTCTCTTTTTCTGCCACACTTCATTTTTTTTTAAAATTTTTTTTGTTTTACTAGCCGTTCATACAAAAATTTTTGTTCAATCTGATTATTTCACTATGACTGTCGAATATGCCCATGCTCTATTTTTTCATTCAGATCCTTTCATCACATCACGCAGAACAGACGACACGAACTTGAATTTTTTTTCAGGACTATTTGTTACATAACTCAATCAACGGATCAAGTTAATTACTTATAACCTGTGTCCCGGTACAAAAAGTTTTTTTGGAATCCTTATTCGCCGGATTTTGTTTAATTCTTACGGCGTGTTATTTGATTTTTTTTGATTGCATAAAAAAATTTTGATTCTTTTTGTTTCCTTCTGAATCAAAATCTTTTGAAATATTTTGTGTGAAATGTTTCCAATTTTTTTCTTTTCTATCGGTAATGTGGAATTTTTGTGAGCTGCTACGTCGTGTGTGGTTTGCATTAGAGCTGTACATCCGTAAATCCATATTTAATAACTTGTTGCGTTAATTGTTTCTGGACTTACCTTTAAGCAAAATTTCGCTCTAGCAGCATTTAATTTAAAATCAACTGAGTATTCAGGATCTGTTCCTGTAAAAACCAGTGGTAATTTGTTTGATGTGATGGATGATCCACCCCAAAGGTATGGTTTCATCGTTAATTCAAATTTTGCTGTGTTGGTTAATTGGGTAAAGTTTGGGCTGGTCTCATGTTGTTGTAAATTTTATGGCAAAGTTATTTCTTTTCTCATTGTCTCTGTTTGGCAATCTTGAGTATGCCTTGTATATTGTGTTTTCGTATTATGATTTGGTAGCGGAAAAAAATGATTCCATTTTCAATTGTTTTTGTCCAATGCTGGCTAAAAGATTCACGAGGTTCACACATTTTCCAAAGTTTACATAATGTGCACCATTTTAATTCAATTTATTAAACCTTTTTTTCTCAAATTGTTTTGTACTGATTTGTAAATATTTTCTGTAGATAGCTGTATGATATTTTAGTAGTTTGTAATTTGAGTGTAAACAACCTCAAGAGTACAAATTTTACAAATATTCTGATGATTTTTGTTGCTTTACAAAGTTTTGATCCCATTTGTACAAGTTTTGTGTCGTAAGATGAAGGAAGAATGGAGTTTGAATGTTATGTCGTCTATCATTCAGTGCTACAGATATAAATGCATTGGTGAACGTTTTAAATTGTGGAATTGTTATTTCAGCTTAGAAAATTGGACTCTCAGTTCATATTCAAGTAAATATTGGCCTCTATTGTGTCTGTTCGAAGTCCAATGAGCTTCGGTACACTTGCATGGATGAATAGAAAAAAAACTGTTTTAAATCACTTGTTTCAATTTTTCTCTTGAAACTTTTCAGCTAACATTCCAACAGTGATAAGCCAAGTTATTCGTTTTCATTTCAATGTTTAATGAAAAAATGATACAAATTTTGAATTTTGAAAATTGGCAGTAGCAGCGATTATATTCCCTTTTTCTTTCTGGTTTAATTTAAAAACTGTATTTTAAACTTTTTTTGAAGTTTTTGCATATTTGCTGGAACTGTTTGACCAGGCAAAACATAGAGAGACATAACATTCAATGATCATCCTCTACGTTGAATTTAACTTGGAAAAAAATAAAAGATGTGATTTGATTAGTTTTTGTTTCTACCATTGAAAGCGGGCAGGATCTTTGTTATCGGATATGTTTTAGTTTTTTTCTTTTTTTATTTCCACAATAAATTATTGAATTGTGTTGAGCGGTATATCATAGTAAATCCATTTCTGTCCCGATCTGAAAGACATCAAACAGAAGCTAATTTTTTTCGCAAAGTTGAAAAAAACCTTAAAGTTTCTGATTTTTTGTCTAGTTTTGAGCGAATAAAGCGAGCGAGCAGCCTATTTCAATAGCTTACAGTAGACTTCAATTTCAGCCATCAAAACTTATTTATATCTAACTGAAAAATTTTTTTTGAGTTTCTTAGCGCCGTTTTGGGAAGCAAAAATTTCAAAAAAAAGAAAACTGCAAAAAAACTTGATAGAAAACTTCATTTTTTTAAAATTTTTTTTTGTTTTACTAGCCGTTCATACAAAAATTGTTGTTCAATCTGATAATTTCACTATGAATGTCGAATATGCCCATGCTCTTTTTTTTCATTCAAATCCTTTCATCACATCACGCAGAACAAACGACACGAAATTGAAAAACTTTTTTTTTCAGGACTATTTGTTACATAACTCGTTCAACGGATCATGTTAATTATTTATAACCCTTGTCCCGGTGCAAAAAGGAAACTTCACCCCGATTTTTTTGGAATCCTTATTCACCCCGACCCCTTCTCATCTGAAAAAATTATATTTCAGCCTGTGCTCATAAACAACTTCTCAAATGTTTTTGTCCAATGCTGGCTAAATTCTTTACATAGTTCTTTTTGCTGCCGTTCACGATTGAATTTTTTGCGTTTTGGTATCAATGACTTCATGTGTCAATCGTAAAAGGTGCACATTAAACCACAGAAAAACTTGTTTAACGACTAAACTTTAATTATCAGAAGTTGCGTATTACTTCGTTGAGTATTTTGATTCGCTTCAACTTGTGCAAATCTGACAAAAGGTGTATTTGGTTAACTAAGCACAAAAATCAATTCAACTCAAACCGTCTATTGTACCAACGTACCAAGTTTAAAACTTTACCATTGTCGTCTTTGCTAAAGTCAACACGAGCTTACATTGCATTTGTTAACTATATAGATAGTTAACAGTCTAAGACCTCAGAACGATTATTTGTTGTTGAAAACAGAAAGATTGAGAAAAAGAGAGAGTTTTGATCCGTTATTGGTTCAAAACATAGATCTAGAGTTTGATCAGTAGCAGATCAAATTTGCAAACTTTAGCTTGTCGTCGACTCGGGTGACGCAAAGTGGACCGACGACTTCCTACTCAAATCCTACTGTTAGAATCAATCCTCTAAAATAGGTAAGAAAAACATATATACTATTTATCAAGCCCTTTAAGGTTCCCAGTTAACCAATAACCACCCCCCCCCCCCCCCCAACCCCATCCCCTGTACATCGAAAACTTTATTGCACTAGTTAAACACTAACGAAGATTTACTAACTCAATTTTAAAAAACCTGTTTCTATCGTGGCGAAGCTTTGAGCGTTCCGCTGGCCCTTTAACGGGTCTGATATAGATTTTTAAAATTACAAAACTTTAACCAACGATATGTTTAAAAATTTATATTTTTCAAGATTTTCCGAGATTTTTCAAGATTTTACGCTCCCAAAATAATTGTATCCGCCCATTTTGGCATTTTTATTTGACATGCTTAGATGGAGAATTAGTTGAAAAAGGAAATTTTATGTTTAAATGACGTACCCGACGTAATCAAGTTAACATCATTCCCCTGCATAGACCAAACTTTTCAAAATGAGCAAATTTTCAAAATTTTAATTTGGAACCCTGCGTGTCTTTTCTTTAAAAAACCTGAAAATTTAGACGCCAAAATTTGCACAGAATTTTTTTTTCAATTTTTGAAAATTATTTGGCCAGATCACAGCTACCGGAATTCTGCACATTTAGCTAGCTGCACAGCAACCGGTTATTTTTTTTGTTTTTAAAAGCTGTCAGTACACTGTGTTTGAAGGCAGTTACTGCACTGAAATTAATGTTTACTTTGATAATTTGATAACATTTTAATGATTTTTTGGAATATTAGAGAAAACTGCGTTTATGACCCAAACAAATGAACTAGTACTACACACTTTGACAATCAGCTCATGAGTCTCAAATGCGAGTTGTTAAAAAGTCCCCATTTTTTGAGGATTTTCAGGGTATGTGAAAAGTTCGAAAATGTGCTCAAATCAAAGAAAAAGCGAAAAAAAATTAAAAAGAGTTTTTCTCTGATTTTTGAGCTTCTTTCTTGTGTTCTGGTCGTTTTAGTTAAACTTTTATAAAAATAAGCATGCTTTTGTTCTGCAATTTAGCAAAATTGGCAAGTTTCAGTCCCCATAAGTTTAACTGAAGTGATTGCAAGCAAATATAGTTTATACGTAGTTCTCAGAAAACTAATATGTCTCGAAGTGCATAAAGAATCCAGCAAAATCTTTTCAAAAATCAAAATTTGTCGGGAGAAAAAACTTTTATCGAGCACAAGTGTTTTGTTTATTGTTAAATAGAATAACTCAGAAGAAAAACAACATTTTATGGATAAAATCTCACTAAAAAAAGAAGTTTGAAAACTATTGTTGATTTAAAAGGTCACTATTGTCAACTTTTTGATGCAAAACACGCAAGCTTGTTTAAACTTATTCAAGCGCTACTTTTTTTGTTTCGATCTCTATTATGTAACTAAATTAGTTTAAAAATTGAAATTTTGATATCAAGTTAACTTTACGATCGATATTCTGTAGAAACTTTCTTTTAGTGTGTTGTGATGAAAGAAAATTTAAATCCTCAAAATCTCTCTTTCAAACTTGAAATCTAGATCAGTGCATAAAATCCATAGAATGAAGGAAAACTATTTTTGAAAATTGGCTTTTTTGAAAAAAAATTCTCCAACCAACGTAACGTGATATATTTTGCATATTTTTACACTTTAGTTGGAGCCACTAGCTTATCTCAACTCTACTTGGAATAAAGTTTGAGCTGGATTCATTGGACCAATTAGTGAATAGGAAACGAAATTATTTAGTCCAAAGTTGAAACCCTCATAACGTTTTAAAAAAAAAACAAGCGTAGTGTATTTCGTCACTTTTGAAAGTCGAAACCATAATATGACTTGCTTCATAGGAAAAAACAAATAAACGATTTCTTTTTTCTAGACCAATATGGACGACCCAAAATCAAAATAACTATTTTTGAAGATTTTGGTTTTGCTTGTGGGGTGGAAATGTTTTTCAAGAGTTCTTTCAAAAATTATTAAGGTTTTTTGAACAAGTTTTAAGGCAAATTAAAAGGCAGTCAAGTTATTTAAAGCTTCGCTTTTGTACGAGCAGTCACGCTTCCGGAAAATCTCAAATTCATTTAGCCAGATTCGGGTGTGAAATGGAAAATTTTGAATGAAGGCAAGTCATAATCTAAGTAACAATTTTAGGGGGTCTTTTTGGTTATTTCCCTCTAGCTAATGAATTATAGATTAATAAAGATTAAAAAGTTTTTTTCCGCAAATAAATTGATTTTAGTGTATAATGCGCGGCTGATATACACAGCGTAAAATAAAGCTAGAAAATGCAAAAAGCTCTGTAAATGACTTTTAAAATTGCACTTGGCATCTTATTTATAAAAACTAGATGCAGAAAACGATCAAAAAGAGAGAAGAGAGCAATTTTGGGGCAAAATAGGGTAAAATGTTTTTTTTTATCAGTCCCAATTTAAAATGTTGCATTTCCTAGTACTATTATTCCAATTTTGTTCTAAAAAATTTTTTTAAACTTATTTTCTATTATTTAGTGGGGTATAAATGAAAGACCCAATTTTGAATTTCTCTACTATCTATCACTTTTTTGTTCAGGGGGGAGATTCATAAAAATCACATATGCTTTACCACTGAATTATTTCTAAATAGGGGTGGCATTTGGTTAGATACCATAGAGGTGGTATTTAAAGAGACCCCAGATCTTAAAAGGGATGTACTTACCCTTAGGGTATCTACTCCTATAAAAAAGCAGTAGTTTAGCAATAGAGTGTTCAATTTATATTTCTTGAAAGGAGGGGGTAATTGCTAAGTAGATCCGGATCTCTTTATTTGTTATTCCCGTAGAGTACGAAGTAACGAATTGCCACCCATAACAAAAAATAATTCAATGATTAAGCTTATGTGAATTTCGTACCTAGTAACGAATCTCCCCCCTTCTTTTTGTAAGAGGGGGAAAATAGCTAAAAAGACCCGTAGATCATCTTTTAATGGTGACAGTAGCGTGATGAAGGGGATAAGAGAGAGGGTTGGATAGTGACCGCTCACTCCCACTCAATATTGAAGTGAATTCTGGTTGCCAATTTTTTCCAAAGGGTACGAGCAGTCAAACTGTGGTACATTTTTACGACCTCCTTTTTTGGCAGGCCAACCTCATTAGTATTCTAAAGGCACCAAAATAACAAAACTTGAGGGGGGAGCGCTCTAACTACATTTTTGGTCATTTTTTTAAATTCCTCTCAACTTATGACAAAATAGGGTCTTTTTGGTGTTTTCGGAGAGCTCGGAAATTCAAATTGATTGACCCAATAAAAAGGTCGACAAATCGTTGGAGTTTTTCGAAAAAACATTCCCCTAAAAAAAGTTCTGCGCATGCCACTGATTGGTGGCTATGGTTTTTTTAAGCTGACTTTATTTCACAACTGATTATATGCAATCTTTCCTTCAGCCAGCTTTGCATGGTCACCGCAATTTGAAATTTAATTCCATAACAAGCAATTTGGGTAGCAAAAAGTTCCAATTTCTCTTGGCTTCCCTGTTGGAACATTTGTCTGCGCCCTATACCTTCGAGCAATTTCTGGCTTTCAACTGTTTTTGCATTATCGTGGCCTCAATTTTGTAAAACTACCGTATCCAAACGAGCATGCTGCCTATTTCCGCTTAACTTCTTTTTGTCTTGATTTCTTGCATATCGCTGATTAGATTTCAACGTCTGATATCTATGAACTTTTACTTATGGTTCTAGAGACAATTTTCCTTCGTTTTTTTTTTAATTCATTAATATTAATTTGGTTGCAAAGATCTTGAAAGATTGCACCATCTTTGAGAGTGTGGTCGTTGGTCGTTGCAGCATCTGGCTGTCCGTCTGTCTCAGCTGGATATCTCTTCTTGGAGATTACTCAAATATCCGAATCATCAGATAGCCGAACAGTTATTTTCGTCTCGGATAGCCAAAAGTCTTGAAGCTTTGCGTAAGTCTTGAACTAAATAAACCACCAGTAACTCTTTCGTCTCGGATCATCAAAACTTTGCGTAAATCTTGAACTAAATAAGCCAACAATAACTCACGCGGACGATACCACTCGTACCAGGCATACAGGAATGGTTTCCGGCGTTTTTAAAATTTGACTTTAAATTGGTAAGCTAGTTAACCAAACCGTCTTGGGGGGATAGCATATCAACTTGGCTCCAAGTTCGAGTTTTCACCCAATCAGAATCGGGCTTTTTACATGCAGCGCTTAGCAAATTTAACGTGATATAAATGGTGGGGAAGATCTTGGTCTACCAGGGAGGAGGATGTTGATCCTAGTTTCCTTTTTGTGCTAATTTGCGGTCAATTTTTGGCTATCCGGTTAACAAATTTTATTTTGGCTAGGGGTACTCCTCTGAGCACTCGGCTTTCTGAGTAACTCGGCTATGTATCACGCCACCCCCGAAGTGACCGTTTATTTTTCTCCGCCTCTCTCGCTCTCTTTCTCTCCCTGGCTCTTTGATCTCATTTCATAACCATGTGAGCAAACTTGTGTCATTCAAGTAGAGTGTTGGTAATACCATTTTTTCCAAGTTCAAACGTCATCATCATACATATTCTTTAACAGTTGTCGCCATCCAAGCTTGAAATTCAATGCTGGATCTTCTAAAGATTTTCCTTTTTTTTCTGGCGAACTGATGGTAAGAATGGTATGAACATAAACAAAGAATTTCAGCACAGAGACCACAGAGGATAGTATGAGATACACATAAGTTACATCGCAGATAAGAAAGTATTTGCTTTCTATATTTGCATTTTTAGAGCAAAAAATACATTCAGCTACAAAATTCGACCTTTTCAATTTTGCCAATCCATATGAGAAATTTCAATCCATTAAAACTTATCATTAGTTCATGCCTGTCTCTTTTTCTGCCACGCAATCTTTTTAAATGTTTTGAAAAATGTTAACGATGTGAAAAAAAAACATGATAGTTTCTGTGTAGATTTTTATTTCTTGGATCGATCTACGTAAAATCTCCTGGAATTCAGTTTTTCAAGACACCGTTGATTTAACCATATTATGAAAATTTCAAGTATACTTAGTTTTTTCTGATCAATTTATCTACTTTTTTTTCTGGAAAACAAACTATTTATATTCTATCGCTTCGAAAATATAAATCCAGTTTTTATTTATTGTTACTATTTTCTAAAATTGGTATACTTATAGTTTTCAAATTCTGTTTTTGCCTGAACTGAAGTTTCGCTTATTGTTTTAAAGTCGCTTCAAACATGCCGTCTTTTGTGGAACAATAACACGATGATTTGTGATGGTAAAGTCTTAAACATTCGACGCCAAGTTAACCTTCGGTATAGCAAAACGCGTTCTTGCCAGTTCGGTCTTAACTTGTTCCTTTCAAATATTCGGTTCTATTTCAAAGCTGAACAAAATTTGTTTGCGACCTGATTTGATTGTTCTTCCATGATGACAAATGTCTAGATTTGCTGAAGATAAACAATAAGAACTCGAAGAATATTAGATCTGACTTTTTCATTAATTTTGTTTTAAATTCGCAAATTATTCTTTTACTGCGTTGATTATGGTCTTGAAGTGAAATAAAAGAAGGTAAGAGCAAGGGATCAAAGATTTTTACGAGAGAAAGGGCCAATTTTCGATAATATTTTCCAAATTTTGCCATTTTTTTTATATTCAAAATTCAGAGCTGTTCTAAAACGCTAATGCACCCATTTTATAAAAAGTTTTCTGTTATTCTGAAATGTGGTCGCAATCTATGACGTTATTTTTCTAATATTTTGGTTAAAAAAGTAGCATTTTTGGCGTTTCACTCTGCCTCGATAAATATGGTTTGTATTTAGATTGGCGCCAATCAAAAAATTTCAAGACATATTTGTCGGTCAAAAAAGGGTTTCGTTATATATTGATTTAAGGGGGAGACCCTTCTGAAATGTTTTGGCGGTTAGATTTTTGAGTAGGCAGTTGCAGTTAAGAAGTTTATCGAACCCACCCTCCCCCCCCCCCCCCCAACACACACACACACACGCCACCCACACACACACACACGCACAGATCACGTCATTGGTCAGCAAAAATTCCGCGGGCGGTGGTTTGCTTGTGCGTGACTATTGCATAACTGGGATACGTAAAATCAATAATGGTATTTGCAGGGGCAGATTTAGGGAGGCTGTGGGCGGATCTGCCTCCCCCCCCCTCCCCCCAGGAATTCGATCCCCTGCCGACCCATAGGGTCCCCCCTTTGTACTAATTTGAAATATCCATTTTTGGTGATGGACCCTAAAAATTTTCTTACGGCGCCTTGAGCGCCAATATACACTAACTTTGAGGGGGAGCGCGCGTCGGAAAAACGCGATTTCTTGTTCAAAATTGTCCAAAAATTGCCTAAAAACGCCTGTTTTTTGGCCTGTTTTTTTTTTAAAATTGCCAGCGGCGCAGAAATTTTGGCCAAACGGACTTTTTAATGATTTGGGAGAGCTCGGAAAATCAGTTTGGTCGACCTAAATAAAAAGGTCGAAAAATGTTCGAAAATTTTTTGAAAATCCGCCCCCTCGAGAAAATCGTAGATCCGCCCCTGGATATTTGTACTACAATTTGTTACAAAAATAGTTTGTTGAAGTAATATTTTAGCTTAAGTCAAACCTTATTTTTATCGCAGTTTTTTTAATCTAAGGTGTTGCTATTCTGTTTCAGAAGAAAGACATTATAAACAGAAGGAAGCGGTTTAAACATCATATCTGGAGTTCATTCATGATAGCAAACGAGTTTTCAATAACCAAGTTCTTGTTATAACTTATTAACTAGAGATAACTCGTGAGTGGCGAGTGAAAGCGTGAGCCGAGATGGCGGACTTGAAGTTGACGATACAGGTGGCCAAGGCGACCAATTTGCCCAATGTGGAAAAAAAGAGAGACTCCTCCGATCCATACGTCAAACTCACTTTCAAATGTAAGCAAAACACACTCAGCGAAACATTTTCCCGGTTTTGTCCCTCCTCCCCACAAATAAATTATCAAAATGGCCTAAAGAAAAGTATTTTTAGTATATTACGGTTCATAGAAATACAAAGTATTGATCGACCTTTTTTCCTTGTTCGGTTGGATCGACTAAATTTGAGCTATCCTTGAACGCTACTCAAATTTAATTTTCGACAAAATTTATGGCGACAAAAGCAAACCAAGTACGATTTTGAACAAAAACTTTTGGCACGTGCTCCCCGCGTCCCTCTCAAGACCCTTCTTTAAAACTACTGTTATTTGGTTATTTACTGGATAGCCGAAAAAGTTTAAAGTTCCTGGATAGCTAAAAACAACTTTGTTATCGGATAGCCGGAAAAAATGTTACCGGCAGGTAAAAAAATGCACAAAAGGCTAAAAAGCGTTGTTATCAGATAGCCGAAAAAAAATTTGTGATAAGATTATTAAGACCATTTATCCACGGGGGAAAGGACCAACACAAGAACTGTACAGTTCATCACGGCGAACCGCTGTTGTGCCCCTGTTTAAGAACTACATGCAATTTTTTTTGGTTATAAGATAGAGGAAAAAATTTTGCAATCTAGATCTCTGAAAGAATAGTATTACACAAAATAAATATTTTCATAGTTAACGCCAAATTGTTGGCATTATTAGTGACCTTGAGCCATTTAAACGGTCAAAACACGGCGGTTATATGCTAATTAGTTCTTAATACGTTTCTTTACACGGTTTTACGGTTGAAGGGAATTGGAGTTCAGACATCAAAGTTTTCATTTTAAGGTTAATAAATTTTGCTCACGTTCGTTAACCTAAAAGCATAATGCCAGCAAAAACTGGCTCTAACTATAGTTGATTGGAAATTTTGTTAGCTTAGTTTTGAAATATAGGATATTTTAGTCGTTCGAAAAAAAACTACTACAAATTTCGTGACGAAATTGTCTTTTCAGTCATATTTTGTCTTGTTGCTATTTAAAGGTCAATTTAAAGGTCAAAACACGTCGTTTTTGTGTTAGTTAATTTTTTTATACTGTTATTTACACGGTTTTACGGTTGAACGGAAGTGAAGATCCGGCATCAAAATTACCATTTTAGGTGAATAAATTTTGCTCACGTTCGTCGACATGAAAGCATATTGCCAACAAAATGTGGCTCAAACTATAGATAATTGGAGTTTTTGTAAGCTTAGTTTTGAAAAACAGGATATTTTAATCGTTCGAAAGAAAAGTACTCCAATTTTTGTGACAAAATTGCTTTTTTTAGTTATTTTTTGTTTTTTTTTGCTAATTAAATCAGCAGGAATATTTCAGATTCTTTGTTTATTCGGGAGTTCGGCTCTGTGGGTACGCACCCATACTTCCCTCTAACTAGAGCCAAACTAAAATATTTCTACCAACCTTTATTTCGGAACGCGGGGAAGATCAATCTAGCTGGAAGGATGTTAACTTGGTCCAAAGTTTAAGTTCGTTTTTGGGGCTTTTTGTGTGCTTTGGATCACAGTCATCAGTCAAATTTCGTCAAAAATACTGAATTTTTGTTCCGCCTTTTCTGGTTTTTATAACGCTAATAGTCGGCAGAAAAACTAGAGCACACAAAAAGCCTCAAGAATCGAACTTAAACTTTGGACCAAGTTAACATCCTCCCCGCTAGATTGATTTAAAGGGGAGGACGTTATCATGGTTCAATGCTGGAATTCTCACCCAATGCTGAGCTTTTTTGCCCCAAAATAAATTTTGGTAAAAAAATGTTGGGAAGATTTTAACTCCAGTCTAATTTATGCGTTATTTGGGAATCCATTATTACACATGCAAAGCTCGTGTAGTTTTTCCAATTTAAGTCGCAAATTTTGTTGCGACAAATTGTGTTCATTTTGGAAGTGCTCATTTTGATCAATAACCAGATACTAAGAACAGCCAATGCTAAAGATAGTTTAGCTTCAAGGTATCACGGATCTGTAGCGTAGAGGTAGGGAAGGAGAACCGCCTCAAAATAAGAGGGTTCGAACCTGGGCAGGGTCGGATACTTTTAATGATTTTTGTCGTATACTAGTCAAAATGCGTTCGCTCTATGAATTGAGGTATGTTACTTGTTTTTTTTTCAAAATGACTGGTACTGCTTGTGTGTCAAAATTAGCTTGCGTTCCTTAGCAATTATGTAGACTCAAAATTGGCGTGCGCCACTTAAGAAGTTTTGTAGACTCATTCAGTTTTTCCCAGTAGCGTTATCGGTTATGATTTTGATTGTGTGTGCGAAGTGCAACTTTGTCTCTGTGTAAAACAATTTTGAGGAAATTATCATTTGTTGTCAAATACAATACGTTATGGTCTATTTAGAACATGAAGGTCATTAGGGCCTCGCCGTGATACGAGCAGTCTCATCATGATTTTACAACCATTGTTAATTATACTGAAAACTTAAGTTAATTCGGAACAGGGCGCCGCTGCGAAACAAACAATTTTTTTTCATTTTGAGACTTTCAATTTAATTTTATTGTTCCGATTTTCGATACGAAAGTAACGGAATATTTGTGCTCGGGGTGGGTTTTTTTTCTTCAGACAAACTTCGACTGTTTAACTAGCCATTTTTGGCGGAATTTTTTTATATCATTCGAAAGGTATTGTTGTCTTGAGCTCAAATTTGAAAAGATATTTCACCTGTGATTATTTTTCGTAAAGTTATGGGGGTTTGAAGATTGCCATTTTGGCCAATTTGGGACAATTAACGCGCGATATATTTCGGGCTAATAACGCGTAAGCGGAGAGTTAATCCGTCTTAGAAATCGTTCCAAATTGGTTTAACGAAGCTCATTTGCCATAATTGATTTGTTACAAGTAGCGAAATATATCCTTTTGTACTTTATATGGCGTGTGGGGGATGATTTTCATAAAAAATTTCGAATTTTAGAAAAAAAAAGTTTAATTTTGTTCTATTACTTTTAATTTTTTAATGTTATTACTGCTCCATAAAGCTTAATGGGCAGTCAGAACATTCAGGGCTTCGCCCTGATACGAGCAGTCTTGTTTTGCTTTGGGGCTAAATAATTTTAGTCATTAGTATCTTTATGGTATGCTTGAAGGAACGACCGAAAAATTAATGCGCCTTGTAAGTGAGTCTCATGGATTAATATACTGCGATGACCAGTTTCAAGTTACGATTAAGTGAATTTTGGTTTAATACTACGCCTTTCCATACTTTATTGCAACAAAAACGAAAACTCGCTAGATTTTAATTAGCTCCGCTTTTTTTGATTGCGCAAAAAAGTTACGTTTTTCACTTGTTCGCACTTGTTCGCAAGTATTATATAACTTTGATTATTTGACATAACGAATGTTCGTCATATCGGATGTTTGCCCTTGAACATTTGAAATTTAATGATTTGTATTGTTGGAAAGCCTGGGTCTAGTTTTGGCGAAATTGGGAGAAGGTATTTTTTGTTAAATTTTGTGTAATTGCCGATTAACTAACTTAAAGAACAGCAAATTTTAAAACCAATTGTGGCGCATGCTAACCATTCGCAGTATAGTTTTCAGATGGTTATGCGATGAGTTTGATTCTGAATACTACTGTAGTTAATACCTTGATTTCTGTTTTTACTCTAAGTTTTTCAGACATAATTTGGTTTCTGACTAACAATTTTTCCTGGAATTTTTTGTACCAACTGAAAAGACTTGATGGCTGAGATCTAAACTGGCAAGATATTCAAACTGCGATTGTTTTTTTGTGATTTGAATGTTAACGTGGTTTGAAAAAAATGTGGGTTTTAAAATTGGCAATTTGACCTATTTGAGATCATAATTTGCTTGGAGATTTCGTTTTTCTATCGCCAAATTAATCCGACTGAAATAGTTCAGTAGGATTCTATCAGAAACCATATCAGAAATCTATTTGAAATCCAATTTTCCTTTTGGGGCAAATTAATCTGGCTAAAATCATTCCAAATTGCATTGTGCTGGCCAGGTTATTGCTGTAAGTTTCCATTAATCAGCGCTAAAGATCCTCTTTGTATTTGAGAAGATGTGTGGAACAGGTTTTTTTGAAAAAAAGTTAAAAACCTTAACTTTTAGCTAAAATTTATATGAGACACTGCAAAGGGTAGCCCGACCCTTCAAGGTTTCGCTTTCATATGAGCATTTATGCTAAATTTTTGTAGTTGTGTAGCTAATTGAGCAATTTAAAACAACCTGACAGGACTAGCATAACCCAATAGAAGCAAAAAAAGCCAAACAGGAAAATTATTGCAAAAGTTATTAATGTTTTTCGAGCCATTCAAACAAGGTTGTTTGCATCAGAACGAAGCCATGAATGTACCGACTGCCCTTTGAAGTCTATGAAGTACTTCTGATGACTGCGCTATAAATTTTCTAGGGGCGGGGGGGTGCGGTTTTTCGAAAAATTTTGAAAAGTTTGCGGACCTTTTTCACAAATTTGACAACCAGAAATTTGGCAACCAGAATTGAGGAGTGGGGGGTGGTGGGGGTAACTGACACACAGCTTTGATAAGTTTCGATATCCCATATTTGTAAAACCATACATCAATCACAGAGTAATTTCAGCTGGTCGTTCGACATGTAGGTTTATTACTTTGTTTCATTATTATTTCCGAAACTAATGTTTATTAATTGAATTGATTTGTTAGTTTGTTTTTCGGATCAGCTGCACAAAATCCACCCCCCCCCCCCAAATTGATTTAAATTAATAATTTAGGTAATTAATAGCATACAAAAATCCAATGCCTCATAAACCTGCAAAAATCTTTTTCATTGGTGTGTTTGTTTGAAATGCACATTTTAAATGAAATTAATTTACGGGGGAATTTCTGCAATTCTAGGGTTGGCAACATCGGGGGGGGGGGGGGGTGTGTCTATTGTACCTTGTACTGTTTCTCTTCTTTTTTTTTCAAATGAAAGTGAACACTTAAATGAACAGACGTGTGATAACTAATTCTGAATATTTCAAGTATTCACTCTAAAAAAAAAGTTGAGCTACACTTACCTTAGTAAGTACCTCAAGTTATCAGAAGAGTTGAGGCAAAAAGTGCTTACCCTAATCTTAGCTCAGGCCAACATAACTATAATATTTTGACTCACCTCAATTTTGGCCTAAAACTTGTGAAAAAAATAAAAGTAACCAAAGTAAGTTCGGGTGAATTTCGGTAACATTTTGAAGGTGACTTTTTAATTGCTGATTTTTTTGAAAGCAATGAAGAGTAGAATGATGTGGATAAAAATTCAAGGTAGCTCCCTTGCATTTTTATCCACATCATTCTACTCTTCATTGCTTTCGAAAAAATCAGCAATTAAAAAGTCACCTTCAAAACGTTACCGAAATTTACCCAAGCCTACTTTGGTTATTTTTATTTTTTTTCAGAATAAGATTTACTAAAAGCACTTTTAAGGTATAATTTACATGAACTACCACTGACCTTTAAGTCATTTAAGATAATTTTACCTCAACTTTTTGGAGTGAAGATTTTATTAACTTAAGTGTGTCTGGCTTCAACTTATTCCAGTAAAAAATATCTGGCTTTTGCTCTTAACCTACATCTATTACTCGGAATATTTCATGAAAAGGCAGAAATTGATCTATTGTGTGTCAATGATTTGTTTTGTACTAACAAAACTGCTGTTTGAACCATTCAAGCTAAAATGAAGTCTTCCCAAACGTGAGACATCGAGGGCGGGGATATGGCGACAATTCGTAACAGACGACAGTTCGTAACATGCGACAGTTTGTAGCAAGCGACAACTCGTAGCAACGCATTGTCAAGTAGTCCGCTGGGCTTGCATTCGGCACGAGAAGAATACTGCTCGTGAATCAATGTTCCCCCTTTAGTCTACTGTTACGAACAGTCACTTGTTACGAATTGTCGCATGTTACGAATTGCCGCCTCACGCCGCACAGTGGGCACTCAGAGCAAGGGGAAGGGGGAGTGAAAAACTAATCAGAATGTCGACCCTCATTTTTTCGAAACTCCAGAAGTAAAAAGACACTCTGGAAATTTTCATTTTTTCACGGTGTCAAAGCAAGCTTCATGTACTGAAAAAGCATTTCATGTAAGTTAAAATTGAGTAAAATGTGTTTGCAAGAGTTAAAAAACTGTTTTTTTAACGGCTTCGAGTCCTTCCACACCTCTTAGAATGCATATAACGAGGCAGCGCAGTAGAAAATCTGCTTAAGAAGTTCCGCGTGCGCAAACAATTTGTTCAACTTCGTGGTTTCTTTTCAGCCAAATCTGTGAAGAGTGAACACATTGACAGCAACAACAACCCAGAATGGAACGAGGTCAGTCCTCTTTCCCTTTCCAAGACCCGATACCCCTAAAGTTTCCTGGTCCTACTTTATTTTTTCAATTAAAACTACCATACCTTTAGAATATTGGTGATTGTCTTATTAATTGGTTTTCGCCCTTACTGATAGTTTTGTTTTGGATAGCTTGCAAGGGTATTTATTTTGATTTATGACCAAATAATTTTTGTTGGGCGCTTTTTTGGTGCAGCCCCCATAATACCCCCTTAAACACTCTATTGCTGGAAACTGTCTAATAATTCGAGCCGATATACAAATATGGTGAATCAATTATATATTGATAAGAGGTGTTTAGTCGCACGAGATAGAGCTAGGAGCTGCTCTGTTGGCGGGAGATGTGTTGGAGGCCGTAATCAAGGACTACGAGAGACTAGGATCCGACAGGTCAGTTTTGCAGACCATAATACTTGCATTGGATAATATCTAAAATCGGATCGACGCAAAACAACAATCGATCAGAACAAAAAATTACCTATTGCCGAGTCAATTGCTTTGCAAATTTCATGAAAGTGAGATTTTTCTTGTACCCCAACAAACTTTAAATCGGTTTTTTTTCTATAGTTTGCACACAACTATTTTCTCGTTTTTTGGTTTAAAAAAATTTTTCCACCTAAAATACTTAATTGAAAAAATTCTTCTGATTTTTTTGCGCCAAACAAGACAAAATAATCCAATTCTGATCATTTGTCTCAATAATTTTTAAATCGGCAGGAATTGTTTGTTTAATCAAGAAGTGTTTTGTCAATAAGTGCAATATAATTATATGACCCAAAATTACCAAATGATTATATGAGCTTCTCTTTGAACTGAAAATTCAAACAATTTGCGGGAAATATTTTTAACCTATCAGTTTCGAGCATTATGATCTAATTTTGAGATCATTAAAAACTTCAGTTTTTGGCCATTTATCAGAAAAGACCAAGTGGCCCATTTGAACTTTCTTTTCCCCTAAACTAGGCAAGTGATCAACCATTTAAACAAAGCAGTTCATTTGAGCAGTAAGTCATAATTGAAATGCTTTTAGATAAATGGTTGATCTTAAACTGATTGGGCGGATATTTTGTCTTCTCTACAATTTAGCAAAACTATTTACGGATAATTAGACAAATTTTGTCAAAGAATCTAATGGTTCTCGAGTTCTTTTTCATATAGAATTGGATCAACGAACTGAACTAATTGATACCGGCAATCCTCAAAAAAAGTACGAAAAAATCATAAATCTATTTGAAATATAATTAGTTTTAACTTCTATTCTCAGCCTTGTTGAAATCGGCTATCCGGGAACGAAAAATATTTTTCAGCTATCCAGGAGCAATTTTACTTTCCGTCTGACCGTGAACAATTTTTGCTTTCGTCTACCGAGATTAATTTTTTTGGCTAGCCGGGTATTCGGCTATGTGACACACCCCCATTTTTTTAAACTCAAAAATTAGTAAGCTTAGATTTGATTAATTAAGAACTTCGTTAGGCCCAGAAGGCTGCAAATGTATTGGCTCATAAAGTAAACAAGACAACTGGTATCAGGGCGAAGCCCTGAATGTTCCGTCTGCTTTTTATGGTCTACGGAGTAATCTAACATAAAAAAATTAAATCAAAAAACTAAAAATTTAGTTGAAAAGCTATTTGTAGTTTTTTGTGCGCCAAACAAGATAAAATAATCAAATTGTGATCTTTTTTGTCCCTAGCAGTATGGTTGCAGGAAATGTTTTCGTAAAAGAGGATTGTATTGTCAGTAATTACGATATAATTAGATGACCCAAAATTACCATATCTTTATATGAGCTTCTGTCTGCATTGGAAATTCAGACTTCAATTTGCTGGAAGTTTTTTTAACTTACCAAATTTGAATTTTATGGTCTATTTTGGAGATCATTAATAAAAATAAGTTTTGAGCAGTTTATCAAAAAATCAACTTTCCCATATGAACTATTTTTCCTCTAAACTAGCAGAGTGATCAACCCGTTAAACAAAATAGTTCATTTAGACAGTAAACCATAATGGAAATGGTTTTGAATACGTGGTTGATCTTAAACTGATTGGGCGGATATATTGTCTTCTCTATAATTTAGCAAAACTATTTACGGATAATTAGACAAATTTTGTCGAAGAAATTATTGATTCTCGAATTCTTTTTGATACAGAATCAGATCAATTATTTGAACGAATTGATTTGAATGATCCTCAAATAAGAGTCCAAAAAATTCCGTTTTTTTTTAAATGTACAATTTTTCCAATATTAATAATAAATCTATTTCAACTAATGTTAACTTCTTTTTTCAGCCTAGTTCACATCGGCTATCAAGATTTTTTTTCCGGCCTAAAATGAACGAGTTTTATTTTCGGCTATCACAGAGCAATTTTTTGGCTATGCGGGTACTCGGCTCTGTGACACGACTGCATTTTTTTACCCTTAAAAATTATCTAGCTGAGGATTGATTATTTCAAAAAATTGTTAAGCGTAGAAGGCCTTAAATAAATCTAATCATGACATGAACAAGACTGCGCGTACCAGTGTGAAGCCCTGAATGTTTTGACTGCATTTTAAGGTCTATGGAGCAGTAATAACATGAAAAAATGTAACAAAAAATACTAAACGTCCCCCCACACGCCATATAAACTACAAAATATTTATATTTCGCTCCTTGTAACAAATCAATTATGGCAATTAAGCTTTTTTCAACCAATTTGGAACGGTTTCTATGACGGATTAAATCTCCGCTCACGCGTTAACAGCGCGAAAAATATCGCGCAATAACTGTCCCAAATTGGTCAAAATGGCACTCATCAAAACCCCATGACTTTACATTAAATGATCATGGGTGAAATATTTTTTCAAATTTGAGCTCAAAACAACTATACGTTTCGAATTTTTTTTTCAAATGTGTCCAAAATTGCTTCTTAAGTCGAAGTTTGTCTTCAGAAATAAACCAACCCGTGCAAATATATTCCGTTACTTTCGTTTCGAAAGTCGGGACAATAATAGTTCTTTCTGCTGTTGAGCCATACTCCCACAAGTTCATTTCAAAGGAATCAGCAGACTTTACGAAATTAATTTAAAAAAAGAATTGTAATGATAAAACCGTGAAATGATTGTTTTATAGGACGATGGCCCAGTGCAAGATCTCTTTGAAAGACTGTCTGTCCAACCCGAATGTGGAGATCAAACAAGCCCTGATGGATGCGAGCAACAAGAAGCTAGACAACTCCTTTCTCTTCCTCAATCTAGCCTATTCGGGGGCTAAGAAAAAAAGTGGCGGTGGTGGGGGAGGCGGAGCATCTGCTGGGGGAGCAGCGGGCGCTGATGGCGGTGAAGGACAAGCAGATGGTATGTTTTGTAACATTCAATTTCCTATTTTAATTTGAAAAAAAAAAGATTTTGAGAAATAACGGAGAAATTTTGATGCACTCTTAAACTGTATTATAAAAGTAGGCCTGCTTTCTTCATTTGGTCTTATGGAAACGGTAGATATGAAAATTTTTGGGAGTTTGTAATGAGGTTGCCGCCCTATCCCAGAAAGAGAATTTATTCTAAGGGCTAGGCTCTTTTCCAGTTCCCCCCCTTTCAAATTTAATTTTGAAAAGCTTATTTAACGTTGTCATAATGCTATGAAAGTTGGCGTGGTGAACAAATCGACAACTGTGAACAGATTTGTTCTTCATACTTTACAGCGTAACATCACGCATTTAGCCGTAATAACACTTAAAACAAACATAAAACTCGGTACTTTGAAAGGGGGTAAACTGGGAAAGAGCCAAGGGCTATTATTAAAAGATTTGAAAATATCATCATAATGAATTTTCGAGTCTCTTATCCAACCCCCTTTCCTGGTATTTGTCAAAAGGGATGAAAGTTTGTTGTTAGTAGTAATGTTTTTGTTCGTCTAGACGTCGAATTAACCCTTCTTCTACTGTCATCTAAGTACAATCCATTGTTTTAGCCGAAGCAGCGGAAGAAGCGGGAGTGGCTGGTGATTTTGAGGAGCCGGTGGCGGTAGTGGATGCAGCCAGTGGGGATGCTGGGGCCATGCCAGACGAGGGTCCTCCGAGGACTGTCAAGACCAAGGAGTCCCTGAGAGGCACATTGCCCAAGAAAGCAATCGACTACCAGGTACTCTAATTAATCCTTACCGTCACAGCTAGCCGCTGAAAAACCATTCATCCACAGTGAAAAATAAATTTATAGCTAAACATTAGTTGGATGTTTCGATTTGACATACACATTCATGTGTTTAAACACTCCACTTGATGTACATTTCGTTGTGGCGAATCAATTTTGGCCATACCAAGTTTCAGTTTTGTGAACATTTGTTAGGTTAAGTTAAGTTAAAAAAAATATAGATGTATTAAGTTATAATAAATTTTTGTTGTTTTCCAGGTGAGGATCAAGATCTGGGAGGCTAGACAGTTGAAGGGAGGGGGTCTGAAGCCAGTGGTGAAGATGAAGATCGGCAGCCAGACTAAGTCTTCAAAGGTCAAGTCATCCGACAGTCCCTTCTGGGGAGAGGTGAGAAAAGGATACTCTTCTATTATGTAATTTTTCGAATCACTCTCTGAATGCTGTTTTTGAGAGTCCATTCACTTGTAATTAGAAACATTTGAAAGCAAAACTTCTCAGAATTATCAATTTTTATTGATAATTATAATGAATGATTTTGGGTCCATGTGAAAATAATGACAACCCAAGTACTGAGTTTTTGATTTTTTTTGTCCTGAATGTGGAAACCAAAATAACCCCTCGTTTAAACATCCGGCTAATAAGCACAAGATGAGGCATCTCGAAAAGATGAGAAATTCGAAATCTTTCTGGTTTTTTTCCATGGCTTCAATTCAATTTAATGTTTAGATATTCTTCTTCAACTTCAACATGATCCCAGTTGAGCTGTTCGACGAAGTGATCGAATTCCAAGTGTGCACCTCACAGAGACTGAGAAGCGACGCTCTGATTGGTTCATTCAAGATAGACGTAGGCACAGTATGGGACGAGGACAGACATAGTGTACAAAGCAAGTGGCTCATGCTCACAGATCCCAACAGCGACTCAGGAGAACTTATGGGATACCTCAAGGTCTGTCGAAACCATGGGTACTCTGCAAAAATATTAGAGTACTCTATAATTTACTCTTGACCTTGAGTCACGTACTCTTGACCTTGAATCTTGTACTCTATAATTTACTCAAAAATATTAGAGTACTCTTTGCTATGTAGCTCTATAATTTATATATCGCGTCTCATTCGCTATCATTGTTCTGAACGGACAATCTGATAAAAAAAATATTTAAAACGATAGTTTTATTATAGTGCCTTCGGATTGTTATAAAAAACCCTTGGCTATAATTAGTTTGCTGGTTTCAATTTGAAAAAGTCAAAATGCGTCCCTCTACCAGGTATCCGCGATGGTGTTGGGAGCTGGAGATGAAGCTCCTCCGGACAACCAATTGGAGGAGGGAGACGACGACGTGGAGTCCAATTTGCTGAGACCAGCAGGAGTCCAGCTCAGACCCGCAACCTTCTGGATTAGACTGTTCCACGGAGAAGATGTGCCTCAAAGTACGTAGACAGTCATTCAGTATTTGATTTAACTGCTCTTAGATTTTCTGGCCTTTGAACTTGCTTTGCTGCTTGTATATTATTTTTTAAAATTATATCGTGCGGTGAAACTGCTCGTGCAGCCGAATTTTTATGCTTTGTGACTCATGTACAGCGCTGATTTAAATTAACCGGACAAAACGCATTAAACTTGAAATTTAAAACGCATTTTTCTCAAATTGGGTTGAGTTTAGGTGAAAACTTACGAAGACAAAACTTGCTTAGAATTTTAGCAGAATTAATATGGTGTAATTTGTTTTGCAAATTTCGGGTCATAAATTTTACCCCAAAAATGGGTTATTTTGGCTTTTCTTAGTTAATCAAAAATTACGCCAAAAATACCCAGTCGATCACAGACATAATTATATCAAAGTGAGCCCCTTAAGTAGCTCAACAAACTTTAAGAAGGGTATTTTCTCCAAAAAAAAATTGCATTTTGTTTAAAAACTGTTTTAAATAAAAAGTTGGTATTTTATATAGTAAAAATGACCTTTATTGTCTATCAAACAAAATTAAACTAACTTTTACAACATTTTGGAGATTATACCCTTCTTAAAGTTTGTTGGGCTACGTAAGGGGCTCGCTTTGATATAATTATGTCTGTGATCGACTGGGTATTTTTGGCGTAATTTTTGATTAACTAAGAAAAGCCAAAATGACCCATTTTTGGGGTAAAATTTCGGACCCGAATTTTGCAAAACAAATTACACCGTGTTAATTCTGTTAACATTCTAAGCAAGTTTTGTCTTCATAAATTTTCACTAAACTCAACCCAATTTGAGAAAAACGCGTTTTAAATTTCAAATTTAACGCGTATGTCCGGTTAATTTAAATCAGCACTGTATACAACTCACTTAATTAATATGGTTGCTTAATTAATATTCCTTATGTTTTCCTAGAAACTAGTCGTTATGCTGGCCAGCAAAAGACGATTTGCTAGCCCTGAGTTAAACCCAAACTACTAGTTGGTCTTATTTTTCTGTTCTCCGCTCTTGTTTCTGAACGATTTAATCTGTCTTGTTTCTCAATTCTGGTTCTAATTTTTTTTCGACTATTGTGTAGTTTCGAATTTTTGTTGTTGCTTTTCTAAGGTGGTTTTTGTTTTGTTCCAGTGGACACTGGTTCCTTCACGGCCATCAAGTCCTTCTTCTCCGGGGGAGACAAGGAGGAGGACATGAAGAAACAGGTGGACCCCTTCATCATCGCCAAGTTTGCCGGCAAGAGAGTGAAGAGTAGTGTCAAGTACACGAGCAATGAGCCCATATTCAACGAACAACTCCAGCTCAAGTTCAACTTCCCCTCCATGTGCAAGAAACTCAAGCTAGACCTCAGAGATTGGTGAGACTTTTGTGACATTTCCTCAAAATTTATGGTTTTCGACACATTTCTAGACAAGGCTAGCTTGAGAATATATTTTTGGGTGTTTATTATCGCTTATTGAGTACATTTTCGACAAAAAATGAAAAGCATATGCTGTTGAGCTCGATTATATAGAGAAGTAAAATTTATATCTCAGTAAAAATGAAATGTTTCATTACAAAAATCTGGAAGTTGTGGCAACAAGATTTCGTTTTTCTGCTAAAGGGTAGCAAGTTACGGGGGGAGGGTTAGGAATATAAAAAAACTCGAATATATTTTCGATTCATTTAAAAGGAGTAGCAATTTTTTGAAGTCTTAGATATTTACCCATTGAATTTCAATGCTGTGCTTTCAATTGAGTCTTCTGTTTTTTTTTGTCCAGGGACCAAATGAGTGGCGATGATCCGATTGCGATGTGTGAGGTGCTTCTGGATGCGATCAGCGTGACGGGCGAGCAGGGGTTCCTGCCGACGTTCGGACCCTGCTGGCTCAACTTCTACGGGGCTCCGAGGGAGGAGGGCAAAGAGGCCACTGGAGGCGAGAACGAAAGCCTCAACGTCGGAAAGGTAAAAAAGGATATATGAAAACATGTCATTCTTTTTTATTTAATAAATCAAATTATTCACGATAGATAAATTGGGAAAAGTTAAATATATCAGACTATCAATATCTCTGAAACTAGCTAATAAAATTTTGAAACTTTTTCGATTTAAAAAAAAATCAAGTATGAAGATTGTCACGCAAGTTTATTTCAATTGTATTACAAGCTACTAAACACTTTTTTGATTAAGTTTTTTTGATTAAAGCACGATAGTATATGATTGCTCTAGAGTGTTTAGATGATTGATCGTAGTTTAGAGTGTTCAAAACTTAACTATATGAAATTGAATGATCTCAGCATAACAATAAAAGTCACGTCTAAGCACCTTCCTTTTACCATGGGTTTGTGATTTCCAGGGCGAGGGTTGTGCATACAGAGGTCGCTTCATGCTTGAGATGGGGGCTATTCTGGACAAAAAGCCCGAAGCTGCAGTGATGCCAATCCCAGAAGAAAGCATTCTGGCACTCGGAGTAAGTACTTTCAACAATTCTCAAAACTGTTGCTTTTCTGTTTATTTGCACTATGATTTTCAAGATACATGTCTCAATTTGAAACCATTCCATTACCCATTTCGGCTTCTCAATAGTCAAACGGACCTTCGTTAATTTTTTCTTCAAAAAATATTCCATATTCCGGACTTATTCACATCTATAACTTCATTAACAAGTTTTCTAGGCAGATTTTTTGGGCTGCAGTTTCTTAAGACAGTTCTAAAGAATTATCATTAAAAATCTTTAAAAACATAGCTCGCTCTGGTTGTAACCATACACAAACCTCTAACCACCAAATTTCTGTGCAGTTCTGAAAACGAGCAAGTGGGAAAACTCTGCTTCTTTGTTTAGGATCTTAATTTCAAAATAAAAGATTCCCAAATTGAATTGTCTCAGTAGGTAGCGGGTGGGCTGTTGATTTAAAACAAATAAGGAGCAGGTTATACTTTCGACTTTTTTAACGTACCGCTCTGATTATCAAATCTCATTATGAAATATATGGATTGCAAATCTCATTATGATTGCTATAGAAGTTTCTGAAGACGAGGAAGTGGCGTCTATTCGCCATGTTCGAGGAGGCCAATCTCATCATGAATGACCTTGACGAGGCCATACACTTCGAGGTGTCTGTCGGCAACTTCGGCAACTCCATGGATCCCGACTCGTCTCCCATGCCCAGCACCACCAGCAGCTGCCAGGTAAAACGGAGGCGTCCTTTTATGCGTCCGGACTTTGTTTTTTTTTGGGTGATAAGCTCTTTTCCAGTTTCCCACCTCCACGTAAAATTACAAAAAAAAATCTGTTAACAAATTGTTCACACGGCATTTTACGTGTAATAAATGTTTTGAAAATTTGTAAATTTATAAAAGTTACTATATCATGTTTTTGCTGGCCAAAAATGACGTGAAACAGATTCTGCGATTAGGACAATGAATTAGCGTATGCTACTCTTTATTGTAGAGTGTGTTCGATGGGCAGTTCTACAGCTATGTGCCATTTGGGGAGAACAAGCCCATAGTGAGTGTGGACTGTGACTTCGAAGACATCTCCTTCCGACTGGCCATACTCAACATGCTGGAGAAGACAAGAGACACTGTCGTGAGTTGCAATACAATATCAGAGTTTAGGTTGCATGAAAAATTGTGATCTTTTAGTGTCTTTTTGTTCCTATATTCAAAAAAATTATGCTTGTTTTTTTTATAATCAGACCAATTTGACAAATTAAAACAGCTAATGAGCATTGATCCAGAAGTCTTTAGATTGCCAAGCGCGTCTGCGAACGCTAAAATAAAATCAGGTTGGCAGATCTGCTCGTTTATTGTTCCGACTTTCGAAGGGGTTACGAAATATTTGTACTGGGGGTGTTTTTTATCGAGACATGTTTTGACTTTTTAACCAGCAATTTTTGATAAAATTTTTAAATTAGCATTCGAAAGGAACTATTGCCCTTACCTCAAATTTCAAAAGATAGTTTACCTGTGATTATTTTTCATTAGGTTGTTGGGTTTAAAAGTAGCAGGCTGGGCCAATGTGTGACAATAAACGCGCAATATACTTCGTGCTATTAAAACTCGTATGCGATGATTTATTTATTTCGACTTTCGAAGAAAACGGAATATTTGTGCTTGGGGTAATTTTTTTTGGGCAATTTTCACCGATCAAATAATAGTTTTTAACAAATACTTTTTATACCCCATTGAAGATATCGATTCGTTGAAATCAAACATAAAAATGTTTTTACCTTCAATCTTTTCTTGCAAATTTTTGGGAGCTTTGACCATGCTCTGGACTAAATTATGCGCGTTTTGATAATTTATTCATAATGCTGAAAGCGTAACGCTAATAATTTTTGCTAGGCGAATTATCCCGCACAACAAAATCTTTCCAAATTGATTTGAGGCTAGCTTATTGGTGGTAACAATTTCACACGACTCCATTTTTTAAAATTGATCATCGTTACTATTGTCCACAAATTATACTTTTTCAATATTTTTCCCCAAAGTCTATTCTATTGATCAAGGGGCAGTCGCAAAATTCATGGCTTTTCCTAATATTTGATTAGTCTTGTTCGTCGTAAAATTTGTTCCAAATTGGTATGAAGCATGCTCTTTGGTCTATTGAAAACTTTGCTTGATATATGCGAAATATATCACTTTGAACTTAACATAAAATGTGCTTGAAATTTTTTCATTATTTTTTGAAAGTTACATCAATTTCAAAAAAACGAACACCACTGCATAGACCTTGAAAGATAGTAAGAGCATTCAACGCTTCGCCCTGATGCGGGCAGTCGAAATTTCAATACGCGAATTGATCTTGCGTGGAAATTTATACGCAATCATAATTGCAGGCCAGCTAATCGGTCATTTGAATTCGTCTCACATTTTAGCACTCCCTTTACATTCAATATTAGTCAGCAAAACCTATTCGAGACCAGTTTAGGGGCTAAACGAGACAGTTAAGGGGCAGTCCGAACAATCAGGGTCGCCCTGATATACCAGCAGTATTGATGTTCCGACTTTCGAAAAAAAAATGAGGAATAAATGTGCCCAGGGTGTTGTTTTTATTCAAATGAGTTTTCCAATTTTTTTTCTCTTAGGAGATTGATGCTTGATCTGCTTGGGTCCCGCTGAGGTCGCACACCACAAAATTAACCTGACACATGGCTAGCAAAACTGTTTGTTTTATAATTTGATGCTTGAAGTGTAACGAGCGTAATTAATGCGGGAGAATTCTGCCGTTCTTTAAATCTTTTCAAATTGTGTTTAGGCAAGCTATTTGGTCTTATTAATTCCATACACGACTCAAACTTTAACACTCAAAACTTGATTTTATCAGCCTAAAATTCATAGTTTGTCTATGATTCATTTTCCAAAAACTATTCGAGACCAGTTAATGGGCAGTCGGAAAATTCGGGGCTTTGCCCTGATACGAGCAGTCTTGTTTTTGTTATATGGCTCAATTTTTTTTCGATGTTTTGAATGATTGTTTGTAATGCCCGCATATGATCAGTTGAAATTTTGAAACCAAAGGAAAACTGTTTGTCAATGTAAGTATGTCACTATATGTTATCTTTGATATTTTGTTGACAACAGGGTGAGCAGTTGACAACTCTGAGACGGACCCACGAGGAGCACCAGTTGATGAATGAGGAGGATCATCAGACACATCTGCATGAAGTTGCCCTGGTGGCCATCAGAGTGTTGGACCACCTGAAGAACAACCTACCGAGAGTCATTGCTACCATCGAAAGCATGAGTGCGCAGGTAAATTGAGCACGGAAGGGATGATTGAGTTGTTCCTAGTGAAATGACTTTTGAGGCCGTCCCCCAAAATGAAGTTTAAATTGAGTAATTAAGTTTTTAAATTTGCAGAAAATTGGAACGAACAGAAGTGTAGCCGGTTGCTGTTTATGTAGCACAGAATGTTCCAACCACACTAATTGATGAAAAAAAATAAATGACTTTTTCAAAAACGTTTTTGACGAAAAGCTTAAATTTTTTCAAATAGACTCACGTCTTCCGAAGTCAGGTTTGGAGTGAGAGCGTAAGTATAGGTCAAATTTTTGTGTGAAAACCAGTTTTTTTTGAGACTGAGCAAAAGTGTTTTCACAGAGACAAAACTGAGCTTCCCTTCACTGGCAATACGCAAAATAGCGCCAAAAATCAGAACAAAATGTTCCTCAAACGAAAAACGAAAAAACGTAATAAATTTTGTTGAAGAAATGGTAGGCTAAAAAATCAAGAAACATTTTTTTGCATTTGTTGTAGAGGTCAGTTACCTGAAAAAAGAAGGATTTGAATTTGACTCCATCCATTTCTTTCTGATAACCAATAGATGAAAGGATAAAAAAACAATTCGGTCAAAAAATTGAGATACGAAAAATACTAAATGTACTCAAATTGGTTCATTTCAGTCTTGCAATCAAACAACCTGCATATCCAACAGTAACAATCGGGTATAAAAAGGCCCTATCCGAGGTTTGCTATAGTAAAAGATTTGAATGAAAAAAAATGAAAAACAAAACTTCAAAGAAATGAAAACAAAGATTACAACTAATTGCTGCGAAGAAGAACTGCAGAAAACGTTAAAAACTCGGAAACCCCATTAAAATAACCCAAAGCATAAAAACTTATCAAATATGAATGTTATACCCTACTGTACGAGATGGGTCACAATACAAAATACAACATTAGAAAAAACGCCACTAAAGAAAATCAAACTTTACGGAAAGTTGTTTTGTTATTCGAAAATTTCAACCAGAAATAACCATTTACTGGTCCTGGATCTAGGTCCTACTTTTGAGTCAAATTAAAAACTATATGTAAATGTATAAATGTAGCAGAAAATTTAAAAGCATTTTTATTTCTTAAAGAAAGTTTTTGCGCCTATAAAAATTTGAAAACCATGAACTATTTTTACCATCAGGAAAACAAAGAAAAAAGAAAAAAAGTAGTCAAAAAGTCTATCAAAAAAATTATAGATCTAAAGTATCCGGCAAGCAATTGCAACTTGTGTAGATATGGAGATGCAGATGAGGATGACCAAATTTCAATCATCCTGTGTCAAATTATTTACGGGGAAGAAAAGTCTAGTACCAATTGCAATACCCTTGCTTATCGCGAAGACAATATTTTTTTTTTAGATTCGGATTCACGTCTAAAAGGGCTCGCTTTTACCTGATACATTTTTTGAAATTAGCTGAAAGCGCCCTACACCATAGTTCCATTTATTGATGATCAAAACAACCATCATTTGAAGAATTCTGGTAAAATGATTACGATTTCCGAAAAAAATGACTAGGTAGCTGATTTAAGTTTTTAATTCCTTGTTGCACATAGGTTTGAAAAAGAATGTCTTACTTCCTTTTAAAGATACTTTTCAGAACTTTGTAAATTACTCGGTAAAAAATTGATTACTTAATATTTTATTTTGAAATACAATTGCAGTATTTACTGGACTGTTTTGTGGGTGTTTGTAGGGCAACACTTTGGACAAGAATCTGAACAAGTTCCGAGTGAGTCAGCTGACGAGTATGGTGGCGAGGGCACAGCACGAGTACGAGAGTGCCACTGAGGTCACTGCTGTAGTGGACCTGCTCCAGGAGTTCATGGACATGATGAACAGACTCTGTCTGGAGGTAAGATTTGATCGGATGCGTACAAATGAATTGCGCATCAAATGAACAGATTTTTGGTAGTTTTTTTCAGAGAAATCAGAACAGTTTTTTGCTGTTGAACAATTTTCTGTTTTTTGAACAGTTTTTTGTTTGAAATGAAGTGCAGCATAGCAAAAATTAGAACCGTTTTTTTTAATACTGAGACAAAGTTTCTGATTATTTTTTGAATTTAAATCACGACTGAAAAGGGTTTAATATAATATTACGCTAGTTTATCTACGAGTGCTTGATTTAACTCGTAATCCTTTCGAGAGAGATGGGAACAATAATAGAAGGAGCAGTCATATCAAAATAGCGGTTGTTATCGTATAATGATACCCCGACATTCTGTTCGTTTATTTATTCGTGTAACTTTTTTTTAGACGCAGATCAGTATCCCGGACATCATCGTGTGGTTGATGGAGGACACCAAGAGGATAGCTTACATCAGAATACCCGTGCAGGAGGTGTATTACAACAAGGCAGAGGAGTTCGTGGGCAGATACTGCATGCTACCACAGAACCTCATCCTCAAGGTACGCCTTTTGCATCAATTACGTCAAAAAGCTAACTAAATCCACGAGGAAACAAAAAACTAACTAATTCTAGATTACTAACTTAATCTACGGGGAAACAACCAACTTCCAGGTTTTTCAAATCTTAGAGGAAAATGGCTGTTGTGCCACTAATTTAGACCTACCGCATGAAATGTTTCTTCGTTATTGTTCCGGCAGGGTGGCCAAAAAAAGACTCCCTAGTTGTACTGAATGTGTTAAAAATTGCATTTGAGGACAGCTAACCATAATAATTTTTTTTTCAAACAGAAAATATAGTTTACTATGAATGACACTTATGTGAATTTAGTACTGCCGTGGAGATCACCATTGGATCACTACAGATCAGTTCTCAGATGTCTCTGATTGTTCAGAGTGATTGTGAACAAATTGCGTGATTGTAATTTTGCATGTTGTTCACTTTAAAATACACTAGTGAGCTTGCGAAACGTAGTGGTATAATATGATATATTAATATGATATACTAATGTTGTGTTATGTGTGCGTAGTACCCTGGTAAGAAGCAGCAGAAAGAGTGCCGTGCCCCCTGTCAGCTGAGACTGAAGTTATGGTTTGGACTGCAAGTGGACGAAGGTGCATTCTCCAAGTCAGCGACAGAAGCCACTCTGACCACTGTCGCTGAGACTGTAAGACAACTAGCACTCGCTCACTCTTGGTCAAGTTCATGTTCATGTTCACTGGCTGTTTTTCATACATAAAAAAATTTGCGTTTGTAATAAAGACACAATTCAGAGAATTGACGAAAACTAAAAAATTATATCCATTCAAAACTCAAAAGAAGGTTGTAATGAAGGAGTAAATAATTTGAGGTAAACGATAGGCAATATTTTTTTGAGGGATGGGGAGGAGGGAAGGGATTTTCTGGCAGACGCGTCCCTCCTCAGGGATTCGACCCCCTAACCAACCAAAAGGTCCCCTTCGGTATTATTTTGACATCCACTTTCAGCCATCAACCCTAAATTTTTCAAAAAGCGCCTTTGGCGCCAACATTTACTAATTTTGAAGGCAAGCGCGCGCCAAAAACCAAAAAAAAACTTCCAAAAATTGACCTGTTTCCAAAAAATGGCCAAAAGATTTTCCAAAAAGTGTCTGTTTTTCAAAAATATGTCTGCAGTTTTTAAAGTGAGTTGGGAGCGCTCGAAAAACAAATTTGATCGGACTAAAAAAAGTCGACAAAACTTTCGAACGTTTTTTGATACCCCCCCCCCCCCCCCCCCTGCGAAAATCCTAGATCCGCCCCTGATGAAGACCATATATGTTTTTCACGGAGTCCGCTAACCAATTTTTATATCAAGCGGAAACTATGAGCGTTGATAATTTTTTTTATAACAATCGGAAGATGCGGTACTTTGAAAATTTTGCAGGTGGGGGAAGGAAAAAAGCCGCTCTTTCATTGAGATTTGGATCCCCCTCATTACCCACATTATGCACATGGCAAAATTTTATAGCAAAAATTTCATTTTTGAACGAGCACTTCTAATCTGTTTCGTCCTTGAGAACCATTTAAAATGCTAACTGGTATGCCATTGGAGCGAATCGGCGGGTCTCAAAAAGGTTGCATTTGAATAAGGGTAAATTTTAGCATGAATATGAGAACTATCGTCTCATGTGGAAGAAAGACAGTCCCAATTTCGGCTCCAAGGACGGTCGGGTTAGTGCACTCTCTTTTCTATTTCCATAACACACTGACGGGTTAGTGTCTCGTTTCAGTACCAGTTCGAGAGCAGCATGCTCGGTTGGAAGAAAGCCAGTCCCGAGTACACCGACGTGCTACATAACGTAGGGCAAAAAATCACACGTCACGTGACTGAAATTGGTACCATGATACAGCTAACTGCTTTTTAAGTTTTATTCTTTATACCTGATGATACTTTTAAGCATTAAAATTTGTTAAAAAGTTAAAATTAAATCAAACAAGAAGATAGAAAATTATGACTCAATACGGTAATTTAAAAAAATTATATTCAAGTTGTTAGCTTCATCATTGTCACATTCAAGTGTCAGAAAAACTGATGTCATACCAGCTGAATGTAGAAAATCATGTCGTTACTCATTTTATATATGCTTTTTAGCAGCATTTTGTATTTTCGTTTTATAATATCGTGAAAAAACTATTTGCGCTAAATGGCGAAAACGAAATACAGAAACAACAAAACCACACAATTTCTTTCAACTTCTACGAAAATTAGCTGCAATTGCTTAGTGAGAAACGCATGCATTGGTTGAAAGACTAATTTAGCAAATTTAATGGCTTACATTTAATGGCACTCTGTTTTGGCCATACATTTTATGTTGTCACCTCGTTAAAGGCTTCTCATAAAATTAAAATATATTTCATTGAGCTTATGCATGGCATGATTGCTAACGAAATCAGAGCTGAAAAACAATGCTACCATGCACCAACTTCGACTAAATTATGAAAATTTGTGGTCTCTATATTTTATTCGAAGAATGAAACTAGGCTCTGAAAACAAAATTTCAAATGAATCAAAAATACCTGAAGGTAGCTCAACTTTTAAAAGTAATTAAATCCAACAAACTGAAGACCGGCAGTTAAATGATGGAGGTCAATTCGAAGGTGGTATGTCAAAATGACGCAATGTAATCTTTTGCGATTACCTTTTTGATTTGTTGATTCTGTTCAGATCGAAATGCCCAAGGACAAATTTCAACCCCCCGATGGGTGGGAGTTTGATGGGGACTGGTTCATCAGTCGAGACAAGAGGTAATTTGAAATTTTACCAGTCGAGGCAAGAGGTAATTCTAGAACAAAAAACCCCCTTCTCATCGATTTAGCTATCGCTATAAGGTTGCCGAAGAAGTAGAAAAAAAATGTTTTTTTTTTTCAGTTTTGAGTGTCTGTCAGCTCTGTGAAGCAACTAATCCGTCTGATTGCCAAGGCACGCCCGAATTGCACTGTTATCAGAACGTTATGGTCATTTTAACTTTCTGCGCGAAATGTGTTTTAATAAAACACCCCAACTAGTTTTCATGCAAGTTGTCTTTTTTGATCCGACTTTCGAAGAAAGTGAGGAGTATATATGCTCTGGGTGGTTTTTTATTCGGAACAATTTCACAAACTATTTCCTCCCACGGGGATCGATTCTTTTATCTGCATTAGCCCAGCCGGGTGTGTACACCACTAGTAAACTGCCAGGCGTCAGTCTAAACTGCTCGTTTTACATTTCACACGTAGCCAATCATCTCCGCGCTAGCAAATCTCCCAAATTGAATTGAGGCAATAAGCTATTTGGTTTTATTAATTCCAAACCCGACTCAAAATTTAACACTTAAAATTTGGTATTATCATCAGACTAAAATTCATAGTATCTCCATCTCACATAAGCAGCAATTTGATGATGTCACGAGAAATTTTACACGATGTGAAATATGAAGATCAAGTCTAATCATCAGGGCCTAATTAGTCTGCATGTCAATTTATATATTTATCCGACAATGTAAACAGCAAGTTCACTTGCAAAAATTCGCAGGTGGGGTGGGGGAAGAGCCATTTGAATAAACCGAGACTATTCGTAAAAAAAGGCAGTCGGAACATTCAGGGTTTTGCAATGATACGCGCAGTCTTCATTACGAGGCCAAACTGTTCACTATATAGGCGCACAATTTTGGGTTCCTGGATTCCAGAGACAAGCTTGTAAACGTGTTAAAATTTGTCGGATCGACCAAAGAAAACGAAAGAACAAAAGCAGGAAAAAGGGAGCGTCCTTGTTGCGGAATCCGCTTAAAATTCACAACATACACAGTTTGGCCTCGTAATGTTGTTGTTCCGACTTCCGAAGAAAGTGCGGAATGTTTATGCTTGGGGTGGTTTTTTATTCAGTCCAATTGCCATTATTAAACTAAGCGTTTTTGGCAAAATTTTTAGGCATCTTAGAGAAACAATGTTGCCCTGAGCACAAATTTATAAAGATAATATACGTGTAATCATTTTTCATAAAGTTGGGTTTGAAATTTGCTATTTTGGCCAATTTGGGATAACTAATGCGCAATATACTGCGTTTTCATAACACGCCTAAGCGGCTAATCGATACGGTTCAAGCTTAGCCGAGGCCAGTAATTTAGCCTTATTAATTAACCAACCATTGTATTTAATAAAGCGTGTGGGATGGTAAAATGAAGAAAACATCGAAAAAAATTTTTTTTTGTCTATTTTTGATTCTTTTGTCAATTGTTCAAGTTTAACACTTTGCAGTTGATCTTAAACTGCAGTCAGAACATTCAGGGATTCGCAATGTTATACGAGAAGCCTTGTTTTAGTATTTTGCCATTTGATTGGTTTATACTTGTTTCTTCCAAAAGCTTAGAACCAAAAAAAATGTGTCAGATAATCTCCTCTGGTCTGTACATTTAGTTTTAACAAAAACGTGACTGCTTGTATCAGGGCGAAGCATTGAATGTTCCGACTGTCTTTTAAGGTCTATGAGCAGCATTAACATGAAAAAATTAAAAGTAATAGAACAAAAACAATTTTTTTAAGCAAATTTTGAGATTTTTGTGAAAATCATCCGCTCACGCCATATTAAGTACAAAGGTATAGATTTTGCTCCTCTTATTAAACCAATTATGGCAAATGAGCTTCCTTCAACAACTTGGAACGATTTCTAAGACTGATAAAATCTCGGCTTATGTGTTAATAGCGCGAAATATTGTCCCAAATTGGCCAAAATGGCAAATTTTAAACCCCCATAACTTTCTGAAAAATAATCGCAGGTGAAACATTTTTTTAATATTAAGCTCAGGACAACAATAACTTTCAAATGATATTAAAAACTTCCGTCAAAATTGGGTAGTCAAAAATTCGAAATTTGTTCGAAGAAAAATAAAACCACCCCGAATTATTCCGCTACTTTCGTTATGAAAGTTGGAGTAATAACTAAGTAGCGGAAGTATTATTAGATAACCGTGGTAAAAATAAACGTTATTGCGAAGATGAAATAGTCTTTTTTCGAATAATTGATAGTCGATATTCAATTTTTTTAATATTAAAAGTTATCTATTTGATTGGTCGCTTTGTGTTGGTATGTCACTTTTCATTTGTGTGTTGCAGTTGCGAAGTAGATGAGGACGAAGGTCTGGACTACTATGTGGAGGATGTGTTTGAGAGCCAGGGCAGGTACCCCGGATTATCCTGGCAGAACACGCCGGACAAGATTAAATGGGTCACTATGGTGAGTTGTGCTGAGGGCATTGACAACTTTCATTTCTGTGTTGAAGCGTAATTTTTATGAACCATTGATTCAATAGTTTCAAAAATTAACTCCAACGCCAACAGTGACATAATTAACACAACGCCAAAACTTAAAATGAAAATTTTTAACCTCAAGAAAAAACAGTTTTTTAATCTCTGACAAAAACCTGACAAAAACCTTGTCTTTATCTGACGATATTCATTGTAAAAACTCTACTTAAAACTCGACATAAATTCAGTTTACAATTGTTAATACCTTATTTTTTTTTTGGTGTAGCAAAGTCAGGAATCTACTCCCCGTGATGAGATCATCCCCCCTCCTGGATGGGCGTGGGAGGACGAGAACGACGGGTGGGAGGTGGACATGGACAGGGCAGTGGACGAGGAGGGATTCGAGTACTGTGTCGACATCGACCTCGGTCAGTCAAACTTCACAAACAAAAAACGGAGTCAATAATTTTAACTTTTCACCATTATTCAATGACGTTAAATTATGATTGTTTGACCATAATTATAGCACGATAGATTTTATTTAATTTTTTTGGGACGGAACATTGTTTGATTTTTCAACGATGAAATGGAGAAAATGGCTCTCACTTTTTAAAAGAATAAAAAGTTGTGAGCTGTAAATGTTCAGTTTTCTCGCGCATCCATTTTTTATGGATATATGCATTTAAATAATTATCATTTTAACTTTTTTTTTATTATTTACTAATTGATGCGTGTCTTTATTTGTGCCAGGTGGCTGGCAGGCGAGTGAGAAGCCGTTCCACGTGTGGCGTCGCAGAAGGTGGGCCAGACCCCGGGTCAAGTTGCCGGAGGGAGAGATAGCCGAACTCAGAGCCGCCCCTGGAGTCAAGGCAAGTTCAGTTTATTACAGACACATCTGGAAAATTCAGTTCTGATGAAATCTTTTTTACTATTTTTTGATCGATTTTTTTTGAACGCATTATAGTTTATGTTCTAGTATCGACTCAAGCAACTGCTTTCCTGGCCCTTTTTTGATGACCCTTTTTCATCGCGTCTTTCTTTTTGATAGATTTTGTAATTATTTGACGAATAATGGCCGCCAAAAGTTTTATGCGTTAATGAATTAGACAAGCTATTATCAATGCAAAAAAGCCGAAATCTGGACAGAAGTAGAAAAGGTTGGACTTTAAACTGTAACCGACGACAATTTGATGCAGGCGACATTTTGTAATTTTTGACAAAAATCGGCGATTCGTAGCAGGCGACTCTTCGAAAAAAAGGAAGAAAACTGCGTCAAAGTTTAGCGGGGACGTAGTTTCTCTTTCTGACTTGATTCTGACAATTGTATCTGTTTTTTCAGGAGGAGGACGAGGGGTGGGAGTATGGCAAGACATATGGCAGTAAGTTCCATAAAGTGGAGCAGAAGATGGATCTGAAGAGACGCAGGAGGTGGCAGAGGAAGCTGAGGAGGGTCAACCCCAAGGCACCCCCTCTCTTCTTCTTCGAGTTCAAGGTCAGAGTCATCGTCACGTGTAATCTGAGAACTACTTTGCATGAAGCCATAAAACTATCTGGTTTGACGGTTTGCCATAAAAATATCATAATCATAGCTTCCCCTATCCATGTTTTTTTGTCATTTTTCCTTTCGAAACAGCCCTATTAATGATGTAATTTGAAACTTATCGAAGTTATTGATGTTATTAACGAAATATGTAGGAGCGAACTTTTTCAACATCCAAATAATAGCAGCAGTTCTGCGAGTGGCTGACGTCATGACGAAGGCTTTGCAAATATTTAGCATTTCACTGGTATGTAGGTGGCCAGCAAAATTTTGATTGATAATGAATGTCTTATTTTGTGTTTCAGAAAAAAGACGAGATAATCAAAGTGGCTCCTAGAACATTCGCTTCATTCCCACGTAAGATGGCGTCCTTTTTTCAAATTACTAAGACTTGCAATTATCTGTTAAAATACTCTTCAAAAGATTAATTTGCTTTCTGCGCGTTTAAAACGGAACCAATCAAAAATGAAGCAAAAATTTTTTCAAATTTCTGAGACGAATTTGATGGTAGACGTTTGAAAATTGGGTTTTTAATCTTATGAGCTGTTCCTTTTATCTTTATTACGTAATTTCAGAGGCTCACAAGTATGAGATGCGGGCATACATCTACCAAGCACGTGACCTTCTGTCCTCTGACGACGACGGATACTCGGACCCCTTCTGTCGGGTGGTAATTGGAAACAGAAGTCAAAAGACCACGACTCAGAAACTGACTGTGAACCCCACTTGGAACCAGACGCTGCTCTTCAAGAACCTCGAGTTCTATGATTCACCTGAGCATCTAGCCGAACATCCTCCGCCCGTGGTGGTCGAGATATTCGACTGGGACAGCATCGTTAGTACCTCATTTTAATTGATACTTGAAGATTCAAAAAGTGCTTTGTAATTTTTTTTGCCTGATATCTGCTTTTTGCTTTTCTGAGTTGCTTTTCGAAGCAAATGACTGATTCATAAAATGTTTGTGAAAAAAAAATGTTTGTTGCGCAGATTTTAATTTTTTTGTTATTTCATTCTGGAAATTTTAAACAAAGTTAGTCAGATTCTAGTTGTCGGGGGCTCGAAACAAGGTCAAGTTTTTTTTAATTACATTTGAAGTTAGCGATAGCCAATTCAGTGAACAACGCTTCTAAATGCAACAAACTACTGTTTTTTGCAGGGTAGCGATGACTTCCTGGGACGTGTGACTATCACGCCAACAGTTAAGATCCAGCCCACCCAGGGCAAAAAGGCGGAGCTAGACTGGCACCCAGTGACTAGTTTCGGAGAGTCAGCGGGAGAGATCCTGTGTGCGTTTGAACTGCTTCTGGCTGATCCTGGAGTTGATTTGCCATTTGAACCCACTAGGTCGGACACGGATAAGAAGAACTTCATTGTTCCACAGGGCATTGCACCTGTGCAGCAGAGAACTGCAATTGAGGTTCGCTTTTATTTCAACTTTTACCTGTGGTTTGATAGTTTTGGTTAAAACTTAGCAAAACCCGCTCACTTTTGTTTAAATTTTGCGCATTTGAACACTTCACTACAAGTTGTGTTTACCACGGAAAATACAATTATTTGACAGTCAATTCTGCACCAATACGCGCTACTGTTTAGAGTACCAACTAATAGATTTCACGTTCAAAAACCAAAGTATAAAAGCCTCAGTTGTGTAATTTAACAAGTCCAGGTTTTTTCTCACTTTGATACTTTCTGGTGCACAATTCCGCACTCTTTCCCAGTACTGTTGAAGATCATTTGATTACTATGTTGTCAATTTTTGTCGGATAAACATTGTCACTAGGATTTAGCAATGAACTCACAATCACGGACTTTGCGAGAAAAAAATTGTTCTCGATTCCTCGTTAATGGGAAATGAATCCGTGTTTAAGGTACTGTGTTGGGGTGTGCGCAATCTGCAGTTGTACCAGCTGATGACAGTGGACAAACCGGAGATGGAGTTCGAGATCGGAAACTTCCGCAAGAAGTCGACCGGTGTCATCAACATCAAGCAGTGCCCCAATTTCAAGAACCCAGTTCTGTTCTACGAGATGATGTTGCCCCTAGAAGAGAAGTACACGCCGCCTATGAACATCAAAGTGAGAGACAAAAGACAGTTCGGCAGGACTCCCATCGTCGGCAACCACCGCATCAAGTCCTTGGGATCTTATCGAATCAAACCTCTGATGTTGACTAGGCCATCGCAAGATGGTAAGTGGTAGTGTTGAAATCAATTCACGCTAACAGTATTTTAAAGAGTGGAAATAAAGGGAAGGAGCTGCAGCGTACAGCGAGACTCAACATAAATTGACATGTGATCATTTTTTTCTTACTTCATAGCATCAAGCTATTCAGCAAAGTTTGTGACTCGGAAATTTGAGCCGTACGTTTTTGCGACAGGACCTTTCAGTTGTTTTTACTTAAACTGATTTTAAAACTTAAGGTTTTGTGTTTAGGTTCCAAAAGTTCAAATATTGTATTCTGATTATCGTATTAGTCCTTATAAATAAATGATTCATTTAATTTGATGACTTTCAGACGATAACGACGATATCCCATTCTATGTTGATGAAGAAGGTACTGATTAGTTTAAAAAATTGGCGATTTCGTGTTTAACTTTTGTTGATTGTTAAGATTTTAAATGCACTTCTTCCTGGTCATCATCATTGTATAATGAATGTTCTAGTGTTGTTCGATCATAATTTAAGGCAGTTTTTTTATCTTCGTAGACATTTTTTTCGTAAAATATATTTAGTTGAATGGTGCTTAAAAACAAGCCGAAGTATAATTGAGTTTTTAGTGAAACGGGTATATAAACCAGCTTAAAATAAAGTGTTTTGCCCAGAAATGTATATCATTTCACGTCCCTTTTACTAAAGTCTAAAATAAGTATTAGACCGACTTTTTAACTTTGGCTGGTTTATTATAGAAAATATACCTTATATTGTCTACTAGAGTGCAATTTTTAAGCAAACATTGATATTAAGTCAAAATATGCCTGAAATTGATCTCTTCTGTTTTGACCTCATATTTTTTCATTCTTTTAGAAGTGACTGAAGCTGATGTGATACTTCCCCCTCTGAAGATGGGAGAAAAACGATCCATTTTAAGAGCTCCTTCAGGTAAATACAATCTTATCAACTAACAGCTGTAACACTATGGGTCGGATGTTCGAAGCCACCCCTGAGCAAATTGTTTTACTTAACATTCACTGAATATTTGTCAGTAAGGTCAAACAGTCAATTGCACTCCTAGATAAGACATTGTCATATTCCTTGCTAAGGTAAATAGTGGTTTCTTTTATCAGAAACACGGTTTCAAACAAACATAACTGACGGTTTCAGATATTGTTTCAGGCGCAAAGAAAAGTAAGTTTGAGTGTTTTAATGGCTGAAATGGAATGCAGGGTTGCGAGTGGGTCTTACCATTGCATATGCTAGGGAGAATTTGGTTGAATGCTGATTCAGTTTAAATGGTGGTTATGATCACTTTGTGTTTTGATCTGTGGAACATTTCCTTTTATTAGCTGGGTTATGGTAGGCGCGCAAATACATTCTAAAAGGATTTCGTATCTTCGAGATAATAGGTTTGTTTTGGTTTCAAAATTGGTCGTCTGAAAAAGTTGAGAGTATCTTTAAGGTCCGGGCGACCGTATTCCCTGACCTTGAAGATATTCTCGTCTTGAAAATCAAAACGAACCTATTATCTCAAAGTTGTTTGAATGAAAGTTTCAAAAAAGTCTGGAAGAGATGCATTGAAAATGGATCAGAATCTTACCAAGTCTAAATCTTACCATTGAAAACTAATTTTCATTAAGATTTTGTGGTATTTAGAGACTAATTTGGCGGTTGTTGCTGGAGCTGAGAAGCCGGCGCCTCCGTCACGCAAGACCTCCAAGGGGTCCCGAAGCGAGGGAGCGGGAGACTCCAGAGGCGCTTCGAAGACCGGATCCACTTCTGATGTGCGGATCGCAGTGGAAGATGGGGTTGGTAGAGTTCATTTCGAAAACAATGCCAATGGTGCGTCTGCATCGGCTGTCGCCCCCCGTCACGCTCCGACTGCAGGCAGTTTAGAGAGCAGTGCGGAGTCGGGAGTAAATATGGCTCTTTTTCTTCCCCCTCCTCGTCCTCTGTCACATCCCATTGCCCTTTCTCATCTTTGATTTTTGACTTCACTCTTATTGAAAAAAAAACTGACAACTTTTGTAGGATGATGAACTGATTTTTGGCTTCACTCTTGAAAAAAATTGACAACCTTTATATTTATAGGACAATGAACTGATTTTTGACTTCACTCTTATTGAAAAAAAAACTGACAACCTTTGTAGGATGATGAACTGATTTTTGACTTCACTCTTATTGAAGAAAACTGACAACCATAATTTTTCATCGGCGAGGAGTTTGTAGACTAATGAACTGTAACTCGTGGTTGTGTTTGGAGGGGGAGGGGAGGGGAGAGAGAAGAGCTGTAAACTTTTATAGTTGTGGTAGCAGGTAATCAATGTACAGGTTACTGAGCGCTAGAAGAAAAGCCGAGAAGCCATTATTTTGTGCTATTACCATCAAATGATGCCAGCATTTTTAAAAAAAAATCATTTGAAAACTAAACTATTTGAACTCTATCAAAAACTCAACTCACCTTTTTGAAATGCAAGATCGGTCGTTTTAAACGTTATCACCTTCCTGTCCAAAAAAATTTGAAAAAAAAAAATGAAACTGAAAACTCGATCACCTGAAAACTGAAAAAAAAAAATGAAACTGAAAACTCGGAAAAAAACTTGATCACCGGGTATGACAATGATGTTGACGTTATTGTCTGTTTATCGAATAAACCTCCTTTTATATGCGTTTAACTTCCAAATAAGTGATTTAGTTTATCTTTGATATGTGCTTTAAGGAGAACAATACACAATCGCTGCTCGGAGGTTTCGGCCAGGGCATGTCCAACTTGACTGGGGTGAGTTCCGATCCGTTCTCCGCACTACACTAAATTAGTTGCCATCACTCTGAAAGCTCAAAATGAATGCTTTTTTGGAATGAAAACAAAGCCACTTCACTTCGCTTGTATTTCAGTTTCTGATTGATTTCAAGGCATCAATTCGATTAGCACCCATTAAAATTATATTTTTCGGGGAGTTCATTTTGGTGGTAAATAAATCAGCCGAAGTATAAACCAGCCAAAAATACGTAATTATTTTAAATAATAGTTATCTGACAATTATGTAACATTTACTAAAGTCCTTCAAATTTCATTATAACGTAATTTTTCGACTGGATTATATACTCAGCCCATTTAAGGCTCATTTATACTTCGGCTGGTTTTTTCCCACTCTCATTTTTATCTTATGGGTTTCATCGGTAATATGAATGTGTGGCTACAACATATTTTGTTAAACCATGGTTTGCTTTGCCTTTGCCCTAACATTATACCTAAAGGGTGGGTTATTTTTTTGATATTTTTCTTGTTTTTTTTAAAGAAAAAAACAATATTAGGGACCACAGCATTTTTGTTGGACCAAATAAGTGAACTATGGTGCCAAAACTCGCAGGGCAACTAACTGATTTTTTTCCGCTATGGGTTTTTCTATAAATAATTTTTTTGCAAACTTTATGCAAAATGTTCCCTTCTTGAAAACGAATTTCTAACAATTCGTAAGTCCCAAATATGCGAGCTATTAATATTGTTTGATAGACACTTACACGCGGGGTAGGAGCGTACACGAATGCAGCCTACGACCGGAGCCTCAGTGTAAGTGCACATACATATGTCAATCAAGTGTAGATGTAAGTACAGGGTTGCTTTGTCTGATGAGTCTGTCTGCTTTCTGATCTTGATATCTTTCACGGTGTGGATTGACCAATTTGAGACCCAAGACATCGCTCAGATATGGGGCGAAAAAACCAAGTTCTGGCGAAAATGTTAAAAATAAAAAAATATATATAATATTTTCTGTTTCTTTTTGGGTCTTCACCAAAGTTGTGTTTTTCGACTATTGGTTCATCATTTAGGCGTATTACCTTGTCTCAATTTCTTAAAACTTGAGCCCCGAATTATTTTGAGCACGGCAGTATTGATAAACATCCCGCAAATTGTCATTTTTTCACAGCGATAACTCCAAAAATATGACCAAAGTCAAAATATTTTATTAAATTCAAGCTTAGTGGGTCATTGCCGATCAATTTTTTCCATTTTAAAAGAGCAAAGCCTAATAATTATCTAGCACGGCGTTATAAAATGTAATTATTTTTATATTTGAACATGCAAAACACATCAAACATGTGACGTTTATTTTTTAATGAAAATGGATGCAACTACGAGAGTCGTCAATATGAGAAAAAGAAAAATGTTAGACGAAAACTGTGATATCCAAACCCTTTCTTCCACCCCTGCAACTACAAAAAAATATCGCTGGCAAAATTTTTTCAAAATTTCAAGCTTAGTGGGCCATTGCAGACCACTTTTTCAAAAAAAAATTACCTGAAAGCAAAGCCTAAAAAAGGATAGCCAGTTGCTGTGCAAGTAGCTCAAAAAGTTTCGACCACAAAAAAAAAATTACAAACTTTAATGTTTTCTGTTCGGTCGACACTGAGCGGATCTGAACTACAGAATCAGTTTATTTGATAGTAAGAATAGAATACGTATACTTGGCAACAGTTTTCATCAAGAAATTATTCGAAAAACAAAAAAAAATCTTTAAAAAAATCGTCATTTTCCAATTGTTTGCTGATTTGTTTCCTAATTTTTGTTGGAATTTTTATCGTAAAGAAGGTGCTAAAATAAGCTTCAAAACATTTAACGCTTTTTGTTTGCGTATTATAAGCCTGCCCGCTTGCTTTTTTTGCTGAAAAATAGACCAACTAGCAAACCGTTTTTCTCTTCAGTGCGAAAATTTTTTCAAAATTTTTTTATTTGAATGCAAGATTTTTGAACGACGGCAAGGTTTTTAAAATTTGATTTGCATGTTCAAAAATTAAAAAAATTAAGTCCATCTTCACAAACGTCGTTATGCTAGATGATTTTTAGGCTTTGTTTTTGGTAAGTAGAAAAGATTGATCAGCAATGGCCCACTAAGCTTGAAATTAAGAAAATATTTTGACTGTTGTAAAGTTTTCTGATTTATGGCTGTGAAAGAATAGCCATTTTGCAAGACTACTTATGCAAGCATACAAGCAATATTACTGTCTGGCTCAGAATAAATCGGGGACTTGAAATGAACCTATTTTTGGCATCATTCGAAAGTACGAAAAACAGGGCAGATCCAATGTTTTGTAAATAATAATTTTTTGTTCTATTTTTTATTTTACAAGTTTTTACACCACGTCAGGATGCAACTGAAACATGGTATAAACATTGGTGAAAGAATTTCGATCGCCCCAGAGAAAGTTCGTTGGTAATCTAAGAAAAAACTTGCTTAACGAGAACTGGTCTGAAAACTTTTGCAACTAAAACTAAGTCCTAATTTACAGAAGAAAGTTGATGAGAAGCTGAACCACTAATTCAAGTATATTTTGATTCTTACCTTCAATCGACTTTTACTGAAAAGAACAAGAAATTTATAAGCAAGATACACTTTAAGTCTTTGAGTTTCCATACTGGTTTCAATTTGGTCAAAAATTTGAGATTTGATTTGCTTATAGGAAGCTTCGGAACAAACACCGTTTTGTTGAAGCTAAATTATAAATTTCTAAAAGATAAATATCTTGTGACCTTACAATTAGCACGGAAAGTTCTCATCATAGCTTACTTTGCAAGTAAATATTAAAGAGCTCCCACAGGTTTAGTAACGAAAAATAGTTTCTACAACTTGAGTTTAAATTGAAGTAAAAGTAACTTAAGTAAATTGATCTGGAGCTCAAGAAGTTCATACCGGTTTTTCTCGCCACTGAAAATTTATTAAAGTTTACAAAGAAGAATTAAGTTGACAGGGTTTTGAAAAAATATATTGGTTAAACCTGTCCGACCCTTATCTCTTTAACCTGGGTTTGCATGGAAAACTCCCGTTCAAACGTTTTTTTTCTATGCCAAAACAAAAACAACCCCACGTTTCTCCCCGCTAGGCAATTGGAAGAATTGTTTCAACATGTGAACGGTTTTGGACAATGAATGATTGGACAATGAATGATTGCTTTTTGACTTTTGAGATATATACTAAACTAGGGAAGAGCTTGCTGTGCATCTAAAAGATATTGCTGAAATGTGTTGTAAAATATCTTGTGTTGTGATCATTTTTCGTGAAACTATGAGTGTTTGAAATTTGCCAATCTGGGGTAATTAAAGCGCGATACATTGCTTTCTTGTTCCGAGTTTCGAAAAAATTAAGGAATATATATATGCTTGGTGTTTTTTATTCAAACAGATTTTTAAAAGAACGTAAATCTCGGTGGATCGACCCCTTGATTTTCGTGTTCACAGAAGAGTCGCGCTCACCACTCTACTAATCTGATTCTTCGGTCGCTGTAAAATATATCCAACTAAAATGCTTGTTTTACGTTTTGATGAAAAAAGACATTATTTTAGCGTGACGAGTTATTCCGACCCATAGAATAGTTCCAAATTGAATTGTATCAAGCTAATCATTCCATATTTGAATCAAATTTTAGCGCTAAAAATTTGATACTATCAACCTGAATTTCACAGTTTGTCAATGTTTCAACGCTCAAAAACTATTGGAGACCAGTTAATGGGCAGTCGAAACATTCAAGGCCTTGACATGATACGAGCAGCCTTGTTAACATAGCGCACTCGGGGATAAATTGGAAACCAAAACTTTTGATTGGTTAAATTTGAAAAGCAGTGATAAAGTTAGAATTTTGCCTTAATATATTCAAAATTTAGGATTTTTGTTACAATCATCGAAGGTGAGGCCGAACTTTGGCTCTTTTGGTTATGCTAGAAAATCATCAAAAACTTGAAGTTTGTATCCGGCTTTCAATTGATTTTTAGATGATTATCAGCCTATCGATTTTGGTAATTTTTGGCTCTACAACACAAATTTTTTTTTCTCTGTCGGTTTTCATATATGTTTTCATATATATATTTGTGATCAAACTTTCTGGGCTACCTACCTGCACATAAACCGGCTTTTCTTGTTATTGCATGCTAATCGTTTAAATTTATCGTTGATTTATTTGTGACAAATGAGAAGTCGCTTTGCGTGTTTAAAGGAATTGTTTGAAAGCTAAAGAGATAAATTGTTCTTTTCAGCCTGCGCTTGGTTGCAAATTGCCAAAAATGGATTCATCTAATTTGCCATCTAAAAATGAAAAATCCAAAATAGATATTTCACCGCCGGTGACTAATACTTCAACTGACAAGCGTGAACACTCGAGAGAATCCTCTCGAAATGTCACTCCGGAGAAAGAGGGGGCGGGTATTAAAGATAAGCCCCCCTCTGCTTCATCGCCATCTGTCACGTTCTCAAACAGGGCGGGGAAATTCCTCGACAATTGTAACCCGGTGGGTTTTGGTACCGGTTTTAAAGAGGTTTTTTACTTTGATTGGAAACTGTCATTAGTCATATACTGCATGGTGAATGACGCACGTTGGTGGCTGTGAGTTGCCCGCTTTAAACTGGTTTTTGAAATTTTTTATTATGAAACCAGTTGTTTTGTTAGTTATACCTAAAATAACAGTACTTTTTTATCGCTTAGCTGTTATTTGATGTGGTTTTTTTTAGTTGCAACTGTTACTTGATCGATAATGTGGACAAACTGTCATCAAATATCCGACAATTTATCTCCACGGTCGGTTCTGAAAATACCACGTGTTTGGGGTGCATGTTAGCTAGTATTTTGATATTGTTTTGATGCATGATTTTGGGTCTAGTCTTTTTCATTTAGAGATTGCCAAGCTCAAAATTTTCAAGTTTAAGTTTTTAAACTTGTGGCTCTGTTTCAGTTCATGGGCGGAGGATCTCGACCCGAGTTGCCACAAGTTAGTACCAATAACGTATACTAATTTTTTTTCTGACTTTGTTTTAGCTAAGGGTGAAACTTAGAAACCAAAATTTTCTCAGGTAATATGTTAAAACAAATCTAAATAAATCAGTTTTAATTTCGACTTGATTTGTTGTTTTTCAAAACACGGTTCTTAACGGTATTGCAATTTATATTTGATGCTTTCTGGTTTCGTGAAAATTAGCTCAAAACTTTTTGAAACTTTTAGGTTGAATTCAACCAGAGCTAATAGAAAGTTTCGACCATATTTTCAAATTTAAGCTTATTTTCTGTTTTGGAACGTAACGCATAAGACAGAAGACCCCAAAATCTCCTTTTACCTTAAAATTGTCAACTGCGGTCTTATTTAGTGTTTTGATTGGTGATAGGCGAAAGTGATGAAGGACGACACTCTGGACTGGTGGACCAAGTACTACGCCTCCCATCACTCCGACCCCAAGATGCTGGAGAAGGCCGAGGACTACCTCAATGCGGGCGGAGACACCCTACAGGTGATGCCGGCTGCTCAATTTAAATCTTATTTGCAAGTCTACGAGTGTAAGAGAACAAGAATCCAATTGCTCTTTTTTCAAAATCAAAGATATAACCTTGAGATGGAGAAGAACATGTTTATTCGGACGATAAACAATTAAACGTAGAGAATAGATTGAAACCAGATGAAATAAATAAAATGGTTCAAAATGTTTTCAAAATGTTTTCAACATTTTTAAATTAAACACCTTTACCCCATCTCATAAGTTCTAAATATAGATGTCAATCAAATGTGATTCTCCTTTTTATGTGCAGCTGCTGGACTGTGAGCTGGACGAGGTGCCTGGCCTGGATAGTCTGCAGGACTTCCTGCGCACCTTCACTCTGGACCAAGGCAAGAAGGCCACAGACGAAGACGGAGACTACATGGGCGAGTTCAAGGTCAGTCCTCATTCGTCAACTTCACTTTTACCATTAATAATATTTGGTACATTATAATAATATTAATAATATTTGGTAACATTTTCCTTCAGGGTGCTCTGGTGGTGTACCCCCTGCCCTCGGACAGAAGTGCCCCCCAGCCGAAGAGGTACTTCAGTCAAGTGCCAACCGGGGATCCGAAGGAAGTAGTGATCAGAATCTACATAATCAAGGCCACCGGACTCCAGCCAATGGACGACAACGGAAAGGTGATTTGGTTAAGCCAAGTAGTAATTTTCAAAGCTGATTTGGAAAAAAAACTTGATGACTTCTGAATTTATCGATGTCGCTTTCAGATGTTTCAGAGTTGAATAGACTCAAAAGCAACGTCAATTTTGAAAAATCGCGAGAGAAATTATTGAATTTTGAAACAAATTAAGTCCCATGAAAATTGTTTGATATTTTAGAAATCAGTAAGTAGTCTTTGGTGAAGGCGTTTCTTGTTCTGTGGGTGGTTGGAAATCTGATACCTTTTTTTATATTTTGGTTTTAATGTTTCGGTCCCTAAAATTGTGTGCAGCCGAAAACCTTGAATAATTATAATAAAAATGTCATTTTTTTGCATTATTTTTTAGTTGGTAAGTTGTTGTATAGCTCGATTTGTTGAATCGGATTCATCAAAATTGTGGAAGCAGTTTGTGAAATAAAGTCAATTTTGCGATGAAATAGTTTTGCTGACGTAATTTCCTCCTGGGCAATGGGATAAACTTTGGTCATCATCACAGTTTAAAAAATGGAAATTGGCGTATGTTTATTTCTTTGTCATCAATTAGATGCTACCTTGTGTACATTTTGTGTTCAAACATAACCAATAAAAAATCTAAATTTATGCTTCGTTAACAGTCGCATGTTATTTTAGAGACTCATAATTTAGAAGCAACTTGATGAAACTTTTTGGATAGACTTTACAGGATGAAGTTGTCTAGATTTCGGGTGAAATCATATCTATAATCTATTGCCCGTCTGGTTTATTCTGTCTTTCTCAGTTTAGATTTCTGATATGTATATTCTCAAACAAAACCTATCCGTGGAATGCAATATGTTCAGTTTGTGAGGATTTCGAGACTTTTCTGTCTCCTCCCAAAAACTTTATCTGCGATCAGTTTTATTTGTTTTATTTTTTTATAGGCTGACCCCTACATCTATATTGAGTGTGGCAAACAGGAAGTGAATGACGTGGAGAATTATTCGCCCAATACTCTCGACCCCATGTTTGGCAGGTAAATTAACACACAACGTGAAGGACACTTGAAAGGGTTTGAATTTTAAAAAAGTCATTGCTCAATGCATACAATGAATGAGCGACTTGATCAAAATATCGAAATTGCTGATCAAAATATCGAAATGGATGATCAAAACAAAATATCGAAATGGAATGTTCTAGAATGTTCGAGATGACAGTGACGTTGCCGGTGGAGAAGGACTTGAAGGTAGCGATATGGGACTGGGATGCGATAGGGGCCAATGACCTGATAGGGGAGACTGTGATCGACCTAGAGGACAGATACTTGTCCAAACACAGGGCACTCTGTGGGATACCCAAGAGCTACAAAATGTAATCACTATTATGCCACTGCCACACAATACTACTAACTACTTTTTTGTCATGTTACCATGATCTAAGTATGAAGAACAAGTTTCTTCACAAATTTAGTTGTTGAACATACAAAGTTTCGTTTCAACGATTAAATAGTTTTTTGAAATTGAAATGTATGGGGGGATTGAAAAGAGCTTTTTTCTCACTAATTTTCAACATTTACTCAACATAGTGAAAAGACAGTCGCCAATGATTGAATCCTTCAAAAAACCGACAAATTGATGTGTATGAGTTTGGTGTTCAAATTATCGACTTTAAATGAAGAACTGCGAGTTTGATTTCTTAAATGTTTGTAAGCAAACTGTTATACAGAAGCTATATTCATGCAGATTTATGATTGAAGATGCAAAAATTTCAGTTTTCCTGACAAATATTCTGCAAGCTTTGATTCAATTTGGGGTAAATTACCGATTTGTCATCATATTCGAAAACGAACCAAACTTCCATTATAAAACCGGAAGTTTCAAAAAACATATTATGACTTTTTATTTGTAGCAAAGGACACAATCTGTGGCGAGACTGTCAGACCCCCAAGGAGATCCTGGAGTGGTACTGTCTCAGGAACAACATCACGGAACCCCTGTGGAACTCCACCACAGAAGTAGTAGTCAACAGATTCCGATACACACTAGCCACCTTCGGTCAGTCCTCATGATTGTCGTATTCAAAGAAGCAGGATTTCGAAGAAAAAAATCGTTTCCAGCACAAAAAAAAATATAAAAATATGATTCAAACATCGTGTTCAGAATATGAATCTTTCTTATCTTCAAATTTTATAAAGGTATTTCTGTTACGTCAATATGTGATTGGATCATTTTCGATTATAACTTTTCTAAGTCAAGATATCGAGCCCAACGCCTTAATGTTATAACATGTGGTATCACATTTTGAGTTCACCTTGATATTGTAATAAGGTGATTGTTATTTGAACGTGATCTGTGAAGTTTTTATAGAAAAAATAGTTATAATTATTTCCCCCCTCAATGTCTCATCTAATATGATGATTTTGGAGAGTAACAACAAGCGTCGGTGTTTTGCAGAGAAGCAGCCTCCAGAACCAGTGGACGAATACGGGCCGGAAGACGAGCGACTGGCTCTGCATGTATTAAACCAACTGGACCTGGTGAAAGAACACGTGGAGAGGCGGAGTCTCTATGCGGCCACTCAGCCCAATCTGGACCAGGGCCAGCTGTACATGTGGGTGGACATGTTCCCCAAGGAGCTGGGCGCACCTGCGGAACCAGTTGACATCACACCTAGAAAATGCCAGAGGTGAGCACTACATTGGTTGTCTTTTTGACACATTCCCGCTCCGGAGTTCCATGGATAATAATCGATTATAATGGAATAATGTTCTCCAAAATGTTGTCATTATAATACATTATTGTGGCTAATTTAGACCACGAAATCGATTATATTGTCATTATAATCGATTATTTTCGTAGAAACACAATCCATTAAAATCCATTATAATGGATTATAATCCATTTAAAACCCATTATAATAGATTATAATCCATTTTAAATCGATTATAATTGATTATAACGGATTATAATCTATACATTTTTTTGCAAAATCATTTTCATAACTTGCAACATTTCTGCGTTACTCACGGCCTGCTTGCAATCTAAACCTAATCGAATTAACCCCCTTCCCACTTTGCCTCTCATCCGCGTTTGCCCAAACCCCCTTCCCCCACTCCCCTACGTTTAACCTTACGCCCACCCCCATGTTTGCTAAAGTTTATCCCCAACCCCAAGTTACAGTCCCCCCAGTTTGTTTACCATTTTCGACGGGGACGGGGGAGGGAGTATACTCAGTTGTTCAGATTACCCTCCCGCCCACATTTTTTACAACCCTCAAGTTCAGTAAACGGGGGGTTGGGTGTGTAAAACTAAGATGGGGGGTTAATAATAATAAATCATAAACCCCCTCCCCAAAGTCTATCAACTACCAATAAATAACCCCCAATAAAGGGGTGGTGGCGAATGGCGGTTGTGGTAAACTGGCAGGGAGGTGGGTGGGGGGGGGGGGGGGTAAACAGGGAGGGGTAAACGGAGTATGTAAGACAAAAATTATTAAAATTGAAAAGTGAAATGTAACATTTTATGAAACCTAATAAAGCAACTGCACTAAACAGGAAATGCGATAACTTTGAAAAAATTTGTAAATTTCATGACTAACCTCTCGAAAAAATCCATTATAATTGATTATAACCGATGATAAGCGATTATATTGGCCTAAAAATATACGAAATATAATCCATTTTTAATGGATTTTAATCGAATATGATCGATTATAATGGATTATATTGATATAAAAAATAATTGATTGTAATCCATTGTTAATCCATTATAATATTATAATCAATTATTATCGAAATTTATTAAAACAGAGACCTCGAAAACTCAAAATAATCGATTATTATCCATGGAACTCCGGTGCGGGTTGAATTTAACGTTCGCATTCATTCTTTTGGATTGATTTGGTCGTGTGTAAGGCAGTTTTTTTTTAAGCTGATATCTTGTATTGGAACAATTTCGGTACTTATTTCAAATTCACTTGGTGTTTGCGGAGAAAAAAGACACAAATTTTAAGAAAAACAAAGAGAATTTGTTTGCAATTAAATAGCCGATCGGAAGTTCATGGGTGTTAACCTCAAGAACATCATTTTTCTTAATAATAGTAATAGTAAAATGAGTTTTAATAACAATGCAACTGCTGAAGTGTCTCTTCTATTCTTCAGGTACTTCTTGCGAGTGGCCGTGTTCAACACATTCGACACCATCCTAGACGAGACCACCCTCGTCGGAGACTCGATGAGTGACATCTACGTCAAGGGGTGGCTGGAGGGGGCGGAACACGACCGACAGAAGACAGATGTGCACTACAGGTGTATGGACGGACACGGCATGTTCAATTGGCGATTCGTGTTCGAGTTCGACTATGACCCATCCGAGAGAAAGATTGTAGTCAAGCGAAAGGCAAGTCTTATTTTTTGTGAGTTTTCATTTCTTGAGTTATATTCTAGAACATACCGAAAAACTTTAAATTACGCGATTTCAATTTTTGAAGTTCCAAATAATGTATTTGCTGTTGCTATCTTTCATGAAGATGAGCGTCGAAGTCGTCGCAGCTGACTTTTTGTAACATTTCAGATGAGACTTTGTAGCGTTTCAAAAGCGACATTAAATTGTGTTATTCTAGGAGCATTTCTGGAGTCTTGACGAAACGGAGACGCACTACCCTGCGAGGCTGAATCTGCAGATATGGGATAATGACCTCATCTCCGCCGACGACTTCCTCGGATCCATACAGCTAGACCTAGAGAAGATGGCAAGTACCCTCAGAAACTATTTTCTGAGCTTACTTATGCAATGCCTCGGTTACTTTTGAAACAATCAAAAAAAATTCAAGTCATTAACAGATTAGTTTGAGAGTTTTCGATGGGCTTCGATGGCTTAGATATAGCTGAAAACTTATTTCAAACTCAAATCTACCTTTTGAACAACCAAAAGTGAACCTCAAAACTAGCATTCGTTTTATTGGCGATGTGGCTTTTCTTTAAATCAATTCATTTAGTAGTTTCATACGTACGGACCAACTTCTAAATCGAGTACGTGAAAATTTGGATCCCGTTATAAAAAAGCTGTTTTAGGTAGAAATAACATCGTTCAGTTTTGTTGTTAGAAAATGACAATTCGGAAAATTGACTTGGCTAAGTTTTGTTTGTGTTGATGTTTTAGATTCAGCCGAGTAAGACTAGGAAGGGGTGCACTCTGCAGCAGTTGCAGTTCGACCCCCCTGAGGTGGAGGGGGGCAACAGACCAGTGTCCCTCTTCCTCTACAGGAGACTGAAGGGCATGTGGCCCATGAAGAGAGACTTGGGCGATGGGGAGGGACCCCAACTCACGGTCAGTACACCAGATTCGAGAACTTAATTAATTCGAGAACTTCACGATTTTGTGAATAAGATTGACGAGGTTAGACAGGATGAATATTTTTTATTTGCTACAAGGTGCTCTAATCTTGGCATGCTTTGAGCACCTTTAGTTTTTTAGTAAAATTGGGGATACGTTTTTTGGGCGTTCTGGTAGCTCGGAGGCCGAGGAATGTCATGAAAATTAAGTTATGAAATAACTCAATGAAACTGCTTGAATTTCGTAACTGTTACATAATTGTTAGATAACTATTATATAACAACTGCGTAATTTCGGCTGATTTATACTTCGGCTGGTTTTTAACCACCTTTTTTTCGCGAAAAATTTTTGCCCACGATGTCCGATTATTATTACACCTGCGAGAGCAGTGTCTTGTAATTGGGAATTAGACTTTTTCACGTAAGCAATGCTTCTTGCACATACGTAAGATACTGTCAAGTTGCTTTAAGTGTGCCTGCAGTAGATCGATATATCAGTAAAATATCATGCCAGTAAATCGAATTATGAAACAAGTTTGTAACAAATACCTAACATTTTCGCAACCGGTTGCGTTATATTAGTACTAACTCAGCTTATAATAAACGCATCAAGAACAGTTTGTAACGTTTTCACAGATTGACTGCAGTATTTCAATTAATAGCTGTGAAACCTAATTTACATTACTGGCAGATTTAATTAATAAAAAGAGCTACTTTTAAAACCGTTTGCTTTAATAGTGAACCGTAGCAACTTGTAGACCTTTGCACACTTGGTATAGAGGTGAGGCGAATGCCTTTGTACCCTAAAGTCTGGAGTTCAAGTTCCGGTCGGAGATTGTCTTTTTAGTATAATTGAAATCGTTTTTTTATCATGAACTCGTTCATTTATTATTAACTTAATTAATAGCACTGACGTTGTATATTTTCTTTGGTTTTCCTTTTTTTCTTTGCTTAAAAGCTTTATTCGGCGTAATTGGTTTCGGCTTATTTTTTTTGCCTTAGTTACCTTATTTTGTGTCGCTTCAAAGGAAAAAATGATTTTTCAAAAATTTAGATTTCGAATTTTTATTTTAGTTGCTCAACTTTTTTCGCACTGTTTCTTATGGCATTTTTTGTTTTCGGCACAATGAATGTCTACCCAATTTTCGGCTATTTGAAAAAAAAAACTTTCGTTGTATCTGGTCGGAACATTCAGTGCTACTTGCACAGTAACCGGCTGTTTTTGTTCAAAATACATTTGGTTGGTATAATTAACCTTGAAAAAACCATTCATTACACAAAAGTAATGCGGGAAAATGAAAAAGTCTTATAAATTGTTTATCAGGGTCAGCATATTCAAAATGTTTCACCGACAATTTAGTTTTCATTGAAAAAAATCCAATTTCAAACATACTAAAAAAACAATCTCCGACCGGAATTCGAACTCCAGACTTTAGGGTGCAAAGGCATTCTCACTTTTTATACCACGAATGAAACGTTTGAATGTTTACGAAAAGAAAAGTTTGAATAATTCTCGTCGTATTTTTAAATTATCGCAAATGAATGCGTCGAATTGTTTGTGTTAGGGCAAACTGGACATGGAGATAGAGTTGTGTGATGAAAGTGAACACGCCGAAAGGGCCTGTGGGAAGGCGAGAGACGAACCCAACTCAAACCCTACCCTAGAACCACCCAAGTAAGACACCCAGATCACGTGACCTTCAAAGCTTTCATGCTGTTTAATCGAACAGAATAAATGATCGAATAGTGTTAATTATTAATGATGCGTTTTGATGATAACTTTTTTATAGTTTCAGCGGATGTCGTTCAAGAAGAGCTCTCCTTTTTGTATGTAATCGATTTTTTGAGAAGGGTTCTACAATGAACAGCCCTTCTGTGTTTCAAGGATTTTGAAGGTTCTGCAGATATCGTATTATGGATTACGACTAACTCGTTAACATTCAAACGACTGAACCACTGTGAGAAATCCTCGCGTAGATCCTTATGGTTTTGACTTGCTTATTATCTTTGTCATATTTACGTAGGCAATATACTTTTAATTTCTGCGAGAAATTTTTGGTTTCGTTTAAGTATGTTATGTTGACGGTTTTATGGTGTTTTTTTAACACACTAAACATATTGATGGACCTAATTCGTTGGGTGGTGACAAGACACGAGCCTATGTTTCGAATGCTTCCTTCAGAGTCAGCGTTAAAGCTTCCTAACAGTTAAATCTCACCGCATTGACCGATCTTGGTACAAGTTTTTTTTACCAGTTCGGTGGTTCTTACACTACTTTCGCCATGAGTTTTTGCCGTATTTTGACAACTCGAAAGTGTGAATAAAAACGGTAACGGTGTGGTTGTTTTGCTTCCCTCTTTAGACGTCCGGCGTCCAGTTTTCTCTGGTTTACTTCTCCCTGGGCCACCTTCAAACACATCATCTGGCGCAAGTTCAAGTGGTACTTCATCGGAGGCTTATTCTTCATCCTCTTCATCCTATTCTTCGCCCTATGCATCTACTCCGCCCCGGTAAACAACGACAACAACAACAACAACAACAACAACTGCAAACAACGGAAAAAAACAACAAAAAGAAGACGAAACAAATCAACTATCACGATCCATCAACAAACAACTGTTGAAACATGACATCACGCTTGAATCGTTGGATCCCTTTTGTCGAACTGTTTTTTCAAACCGGATTCATGCTGAAAAATTGATTGTCGTCACTTCAGATTTTCTCTTGATATCATCACTGCGTGGATGCTTGTTTTTTTTCTGACATTCGACTCAAGATAAGTCGCGAGGAGGTTTTATGGATTTCGGTTTTCAGGATAGATGAATTTTTGTTTGGTTGCAGGCAAGGTACAATTTTTGTGGGTATTGTATTGTGGGTGGTACTAATAAACTGGTACGGTTTTTGTAGTTGACAACTTTGCGGAGCGTTACTAGTTGTCGGTTCATTTTCGCCAAGGCTGTCGATTTTTTTCTTTGGAAAAGATCTCTTAATCGGGTAGGGGTTTGCGATTAGCCCCAATTTGGTTAAGAAAGCTCGGTTGTCAAAATAGCTTTACTAAGCTCTCATTGCTGGTTGAATGCTTAGTAATTTTATCCTAAATTATAAGTCTCACCTTAGATCGTCAAATTGTCTTGACAAAAAGTAGAGTAGAAAAAATAGTTAGAAAAGGTATGAATTAATTAGTTGGTTAGATACAGAGCACTGGGTTATTAGATTATATAAATGAATCGAACAGCTTAAAGAAATATACCTATGAGGGGAGGTTGAACTAATCTTATTTTGTTCATCAATATTTTATCTTCTTACTAAGGTCGGTGGCTGATTAGTATGTATGGTTGCCCTTGATGTTTGTCCAAGTCAGCACTTCTGGTTGGGTCGTCTGAATCGTCTTGCCGTAGTCCTTTGGGTACTTGTAGTCCAGACTTCCTCGGGTGTGCGAATCTTGAGTATCTCGATTTATAATTTTTCAAACTTAAAATGAGAATTTATTCTCTTTTTATAAGTGAAAAGGGCTAGATTAATTTTAGTGTTAGGGCAGAAAAGAAAAATTATTTATTTTTAAAAGATCTGACTGAAGAGAAATGACTTGCTGCTGACTGAGCAAAATGAAACACTGAAGATTTCAGGCCAGTCCTTTTGCTCATAAGCATAAACCGGCGGCTGATTCAATCTTTAATTATTCAGGTTTCACCTGCTCCTTTGTTCTCCCTTTTTAATAAGGGAATTTTCAACTAGTTTTTATTTGATTTTTTCAAATCAAATATCTTCAACTTATTAGTCCCCTTTGATAAAAACCGCATCCTTCAGTTTGTCTTATTAAAAATTCATATTACTCTCTCTGATGCATCATATTGCAGGTGCACCTCTGCTTAATCAAAGCAAGGAGAATTTCAGTGCAGCCGGCAAGACTGCTAAATATTTATCCATTTTATTTCAAGTTAAGTTAAAAGGGACGTATTAATAATCGCCGCCCTTTTAAAATATTGAGCATGAAAAAATGTGAAAAATTGGACAAGTATTTAAAAAGGAGTGGATTTTCAAAACAAGATTTTATAGTCCTAATAAGAGTAAATAAGTCAATATCTGATTTAGTGAAAAGAGGCTTTAATTTAAATGGCACGCTCCAATTTAGAATTGGGTCGTTAAATAAACAATTAAGACAATGGTCTTTTGTGTGTGTGTAGTATTTCGCAATACTACAACTCACCCCTTTTTTTTAGAAAATTAAGCTGTTCGATTCTTACAGTTACCATGGTGAAAATTTAAACACTTTAATGGTTAAATACTATAGTTATAAAATTTAAAGAGAACATCAAGCGAAAAAGTTATAAAGATAAGTTAGGTTTTATCTAGAGCTTCCTTCCGGCTTCTAGCTCCACGTTGTATGACCTGAGGATCGCTATCTTCCTCTGTGAAGCCTCAAGTTTTTGTTGCAACTTCACGATTTTCTTCTTTTTAATTTTGTTTTTGATTCGTAGTCTGCTCATTCCGTCCGTAAGTTGTTGAATGTCGTCCTGTTCTTCCTGTCTGTTTTTTATATGGTTCGGAAAAGCAGTTATTCCCTCGAACGGGATGGTGACTTGCGTGCCTCCTGCCTTGAGGATGTAGCCGTTTTCCTCCCTCTTCTTTAATTTCCAGAGGTTGTTTTCGTTCTTTATAACCACTTCTGGCTGGGTTATGAAATCGATAGGCATCTTCGCCTTTTCCATTTTCGTTGAGTTGGCGACTTCAATGAACGATGGCAGTTTCCATCTGTTACAATTTTCCTTTATTGAGTACTTTAAACTCGTTATATATTTTGGATTTTCCGTATCCAATTTGGTTTCTCTGCAATTCTGCAGCTCCAATCTTTGGGTTAAACTGGGAAAGTTGCGAGGGTTCTTATTTAACCCGTCGTCTATTGACAAAGATTGAACTGCTAGAGGTTTCCGTTGTTTCTTCCTGAGGGGCAGCTTTCTTTTGAACTCCTCTGGTGTGGGTCTGCGTTTCTGCAATTCCAGTTTAAAATTGGGTCGTATTCCATTTTGCTAAACATCAATGTAAAATAAGTAAATATTCAAAATCCCGAATTACATTCGGATATTAAGGCTAATTATCAAATGTTTGAACGATGAAGGACAAAGTGTAAAATTGTATATACATATAAAAGGTGGAAAATATAATCTTGTGGTTTCACACAAACCCACCACGGAAAACAAATGAAGAAAGACGATCATGGTGTTTATTAACCACAGGAATAAAGCACTTTACAAGACTGAGTTAAGCTCAGATTTTAATTTTATGTAGTTAAAGCAAAAATGGAAATTTGGGCATTAATTAACCCCTAATCTTAAATGTATGTCCACCTGGTTGTCATAACCAGCAATTTTTGTTACATTTTTTGATAGAAAAGAGAAAAGATTTGAATTAGAATCAAATCAAAATGAAATATCGTAGAAAAGGAAAATTAAACAGACAATTTGCAAACTGTATAATATTCAAAAAAATAAGTTTCTTAGTTTCTCTTTGGTTTTAATCCTCTGCATCAATCCATGTTCACATATTTAGTACAGAAAGTCATCCTGAACTTTATGATGCAAAAACTTAACGTAAACAATCTTAAGGATGATGCAGTCCAATTTTCAAAATGTTGCTTCTGAAATTTTGTTGTTAAGGGTTTAAATGCCTGCATGTTGTGGATTTTGAACTACCGAATTGATATTTTGGCCAAATTGTGAGGAGTGAATCATAAGAGTCTCAAAGGCTGCATACAGCCACCAACAAGCATTTGCGTTGTTGAAAGATTATGGTACCATAATTTTAAAAAGGCTACATGAAGCCACCAACAAATGCTGGCATAAATCTGCGGCGGGTCGGGTCGAAAAACGTTGTTCGCCCATTTTATGATAAAAATTTTTGATGAAAATTTTACTCAATGTGTTGAGAAAAAAGAAGGTGATGTTTCCCTTTTTGATGAATTTCTTCTAGTTTGCATTTTGTAACTTGAAAACTACAAAGATAATAATTAATGTCATCGGTCCCTACTTGGGCCCTAAGAGGAATCCGATGGTGCAAATTAACTTCGCAGAATGAGTTTGTTACAATTTTACATTGGCTAGTTCTTTCATCAAAGGTTTTACTCTATTAATTCTCGTTATTGTACGTAGGGTAATTTGAACTTCCCTTAAGTGTAATACTGAATTTTCAGTTAATAAAACCGCCTGAAAATGAAATTATTATAGACTCGTAAAACTGTAATATTTGAAACTCCTGGCCTTTTGCAACTTTTTTTGCAAATATGTTGAAGTCGAAAATTTTTTTTGTCTGAGCCATTGGGTTCCGATTCCTCTATCTTTATTTGATTTTGGAGATGGTCCAAAATTGTTAGCGTACTTGACTGTTTTCGATCTCGGTTAAGAATTAAATCCGTGTTCATGCATTTTGGCATATCCTTTTGGGTGTCATACAGAACCGCTATTCATTGTAGTACATTTGTAGGATAATACTCGTAATCTTATTTTTTAGTAAGATTAAATTAGATTTACTGCTCAGTATACAAAACGTTAGGTAAATTTCACAAACTTACATTGTTATAAAATCTTTAATGAAAACTTCACATTCAAAAACATTTTAAAGCAGGAAGAAATGGGTTTATTTTATTTCTATGTTTTCAAACGTTTGGCCTATTACACCTTT